ACCTAGGGATAGTATTTCCCATAGTAGACTAGGCCCTCTTACATCAATTAGAAATCAAGACAATGCCCCCACAGGCATGCCCACAAGCCAGTCTGATCTGAGCAACTTTCACCTGAGGTTCCCTCATCCCAGGTGATTCTAGGTTGTGTCAAGTTGACAATAAAAGCTAATGAATACACACACCACCATCGCATGGTCATTTGAAGGGTGAGGCAGATGGCGTTGGCTTTTTAAGGCCCTTGGAGAAGATTTTTATTTACACTCATTGCCATTATTTAAAAAGACACTGAGGGATCAATAGGCTTGGGTGTGCTCAGAAATACTTCTTTGAGAGGAACACAGTAGTCCTGTTGACGTCTCTGGGCTGGGAAGGGCTCTGGTGAAGTAATAGGCCGGTATCAGGTCCTTGGCCTGAACTGACTTGAGAGGTATTCTGTGATACTGTGTTGTCACTGCACCTGTCCTGGGAGGCAACTTTAAAGAGACAGGGGGTCACTAGGTCAACATCAATGCTAGGCATGGGGAGGAGAACATCAAGGCACCACTGAGGCCTGTCCCTCTAGACACCAGGGTCTCACCATAGTCTCAGATAACACTATTGTGCTCCCAAATAGAGACTGTGGGGAAGCAGCCATGGGCACGAGGCTCTGTCTGCCATTTCTCCAAGATGTTACTTAAGTTTCTCATGCTGAGCAAGTATCTGGTAAGCCACCTATTACCATCCCAGAGATGTCACCCAAACAGCATAACACACACACCATGCACATTCCACATAACACAGCACACACATACTACATATCTAACACATAACACACACAGACATATAAACCACAAACTGCCCATATATTCCCACCACCACACACAAACACACACAATACATATATAACTATGCACATAGGCACTGATCATGTATCAGCAGGCACACACACTTATACACAATGTTCAAGTCGTGCACACACATACACATCCTACAGATACAACACACACACACACACACACACACACACACACACACACACACTGTTAGCTCTCCTCCAACCTGCCCAGACCTGTCCAGACAGGGAGCTTCCAGCACCTACCCTAGAAGGATCTTCTGACTCTCCACCTGTGGTGTCCTCCTGAGGCAGGTCAAACACTTCCCTGCTCTGAGCCTCAGCCTCCATATGAGTGTGTTCCTGGTGTCTGAGGGCAATATAATTTGAACAAAGGTGGCTGGGCCTCGGCCTTCTCCAAAAAAGAGGCCACCACAGGAAGTTCTCTTAATCCTTTTGGCCTGGATGCAGCCTGATGCTGCCACACCTCTTCTTGTGTTTTCTCAGCCGTTGCCTGTTATTCTTAGAAGGTAAAGGACACTTGTTTCTGCTTCCTTTCCTTGGAAAGTCTCCACAGCACCCAGCACAGAACATTGCACAAAGAATATATTCAACCTGTGGATGCCAGTGAACTAAGTCCAGCAAGGGGGAAACAGAAACACCTGTTTACAGACCACCTCTCTTACAAAACACCAGATCCCTAAACACACGCAACCTCTCCATACCATAGGCAAGGCCAAGCCATAGCTCAGCCTTGGGTGAAACATTAGGTTTGAATCCCCTAGCAAGAAATACACATGCACACATACCCAGACATACACACACACACACACAGAAACATACACACAGACAAACACACACAGGGAATAGGAAACTTCCTATTAAAGGCATGTTAAATTTCTAATTACACTGATTGATTGATTGATTGATTGATTGATTGATTGTGTACTGGTGTGTAATGGTGCCTGGTCAGAGCAGAGGACAACTTGCAGCAGTCTGTTCTCTCCTTACATGTGGGCTCCAGGGATTAACCACAGGTTGTTAGGCATGATGGATCCATCTTGCAAGCCATCTGATTTGTTTTTCATGAACCCTTGGTGATAGCTTATGGAATCTAATTTTCATTCCTTTCTCTTCCAGGGCCAAAAAGCTTGGATAGAGAAAACGTTTTGCAAAAGGGAATGCATCTTTGTAATTCCCAGTACAAAAGACCCAAACAGGTATGTTGGATGCTATTGGGGAGGCATTATCTGAGTCAGGGCTTGTCCAGCATGCCTCAGCAACCCTTCTTCTAATGTCTGTGGAGAAGGGAGAGGAGGCGAGGACACACCAGGATCTGTCCTCATAGGAGCCATTAATAAAGAGTCACAGGGCTGTTGACAGACAAATGCCGTGGCAGAGATTTTTTCTTTGCAGCTCTTCCCTGGGCTTTCTCCCAGCCAGATCTTTGAAAGTCTCAGGATATCTTCTGGGGTGTCTACAGTCCAACTTCTTAATTTATTTATATGAAAGGAACTTCTATCACTGGGAAAGATCGGAAACAACTGTATCTACAGAACTTGGGACCAACTCAACTTTCCAAGACAGACCATAGGCCAAGCTGCGACATAAGCCTCAATATTCTCAAACAAGTCAAAGCATAGTCCTGAACCATGATTAAATAAAATGAGAAGTCGATAGCAGATGAAAAAAATTTGGTACCTCATCAAGTAAGATGCTCCTTGATAACCAGTAGATCAAAGTTGAAATCAGATGGGGAATATAATACTCCTTGGTTAAAGATATAACACAGCAAAGCTGAGGTGATGCACTAACATAGGCTGAGAAGGAGATTTGTGCCCATGGGCGCCTGGATTAGGAAAGAAGAAAACTTCTAAATAGACAACCTGGCCATCTACCAGAAGACACGGGAAAAATAAGAGCTGAGTGAACGGAAAGCAAGAGCAAGGAAGACAGTCAGCCATGCTTCAGGAGGCATGAGAGGCCGGTGTGACCCATGCCAGAGGAAGTCAGAAGCAGTTCTTGGAAAAGAACAAAAACCTGTGACTCAATTAGCCAGATTGATGAGGACTGAAGAGCTAATACTGAAATGGCAGAGATGAGAGTAACAGATAGTCTTAAACAGAAATCAGTATGAAGAAATGGTGTGATTTGTACAACAAATTAGATAATTCAGCAAATTCCCAGAAAAGTACAAACTCTGCAAGCTAGCTCAGGGGAGAAATACCCAATGGAAACACACTTGCATTAAGTAACTGGTGCCATTAGAGCCAGTGATCTAAAGTCTCCCCGTTGGTCATTACGTTATTAGTAACCAGGTCCAGATAGTCTCTCTCCACTAGCTTCTGAAAGCATTCCAGAAGAATCAATCCAAATTCTCCATAAGCTCTGCCCAAAACATGTTGGGGGCACTCTGCCAACTAGTTGCAGGAAGCCAGTAAAACAGATTCCCAAACTGAGACATCAGTGAAAGGAATGAATGAAGTCTAAGCAATTTGGAAAAACATCCCTGCCCACAGATTGAAAAATGTGTTATTAAGAAAATGGCAATGCTCACAAAATGACACAAAAATTCATCTTAATCCCTGATGACAGCTAATCTTGATGTCAGTTTGACTGGATTAAGAAACACCTACACTAGTTGCCCACACTTTGGGGCTTGTCTGTAAGGGTGGTGCCAGAAAGGAATAGCTAAGGGAGGAAGGTCTGCCCTGAATGTGAGAGACACCATTCCCAAGGCCATGGCCCTGGTACAGCAAGAGGGAGAAAGGGGACTTCTAACACAGTTCTCCCCTCTGTGTCCTGGCCACTGACAGACGGAAACTGTGAACTAAGCCTTTCCCCCTTACTGTGGCTTCTTTATTGAAAAATAAATCTCAGGAGTCAGATATTAGGGGATAACCCTGAAAGATCCACAGAGCGATGGAGAAAAGATCACCTCACCCTCTTCTCCACCTTCCCTGATGGAAAAGGCTGCTCCTCTCTTTTGGTCCCTCCTGTGTGTCCCTCCATAGTCCACTCCTACCAGCTGAATGTGGACTCCACCCTCCAGACTGAGGTCTGTCTCCTCTGGTGGTCTCGGAGCAACGACACAAATACATCTCCCACAATACCTTCTTGCCCCCCACCCCCACCCTGTGACAGCAACAGAAGCCAGAATAACATTACCCCATTGGATGTCATAGAAGTTGACAATCAAATTCTAAAATGCATAAGAACTTTTGTAAGAACGCAGAACAGTGAAAACAACTAGAAGGTGTGGGGGGATGGAGTGAGGGGGAAGGCAGAAGGGGAAGGGGAAAGGAGGAGAGAGAAGGGGAAGGGGAATGGAAAAAAGAAAGAGAGGAAGGGGGAGAAGAAAGAAAGGTGGATGGAGTAGGAGAGCGAGGGGAAGAAAGAAACTGCAACTATCAGGTCCCAGCACTGATGAAGGAACCCACAGGGGAGGAGAGCCCTGGGCCCTGCTGTTCTTCCTATGGGCATTCTGAGCTTGGGTGGTTTGGGCATGAACTATGTGGCAGCCAACCATGCCAGTGACAAAGGAAGCCCTGGGCATGCATGGAAAGACCAAGGGACATGCTCGGGGGGGGGGGCTAGGAAGGAATATGGAACAGAGGTTGACTGAGCTTTAGAGAGACACTGAAAATTAAGATCTGCAGAGCCATGGTAGAGACAGCTCAGCACACAGCTGTTCAAGACAGGACAACTCAACCTTCCGTGCTACTTGGGCAGGAATAATAAAATAAAATAAAAACACTTCACTAGAAACCAGAGGAACCCTGCAGTACCATGGGATTCCAGAGTGCCACTTACCTGCCCCCGGGTTATGGTTGTACTTTGTCACCCAATGTTCAGCAGTGTTCAGAGGGCCTGTTAGTGTTCTCAAGACAGCAATAAGAAAGAACAGCCATCCAAGTGTGTATATAAGTAAGTAGTGATGTGTTGCCTTTTGGGAAAAGAATGAACGGTAGCAATCGCTTCTGTCCCTGATGAAGCTGATGACTGAGATGCTCTTGTGACCCTGGTTGGACCCAGCTCATCCCTGCAGGCTAGTTTATACTCCCTAGTGGGAGGCAAAGGGAAACGCTGCCGAACAGACCGCTTTACTCCTCTTTCAGGTGTTGCTGTGGTCAGCTCACCAGCCAGCACATCCCCCCACCGCCGAGCGCGGCTCCCAGCACAACTGGAGAGGAGGGCAAGCAGGTGGACACACAACCTGGGAAATGGTCGGTCAGCAAACACACCCAGAGCCACCCAACGGACTCCTATGGGATTCTCGAGTTCCAGGGTGGGGGCTACTGCAATAAAGCCATGGTAAGAGGGGTGATCGGGCACTGTGCACAGGGACCCAGCCTTCGCCAGAGCCTGGCCCCTGGCCCCTGGCCCCCAGGAGGCAGAGACCTGGGTCTCCCCCAGGCTTGCATCTTCATAGGCACATTACTGCAAGTCCACACGGTGAATCTGTGCAGATGAATTTTACATCACTGCAAAGAGCATACAGCCTCCATGAATCCTCCCCAATCTCTAAACAACAAAGCACGCCCTAGCCCAACCTTGCACACACTCTATTACCCCATCCCTGGTGCCCTCATTTGCTTTCTATTGATATGATAAACAGTGTGACCAGGAGAAGCTTGAGGAGAAAGGTTCTATTTCCTCTCAAGTTTCCAGGTAACATTTCATCATTGAAGAAACTCAAGGCAGGAACCTTGGCAGAAACCGAAGCAGAGACCACGGAGGAGTGCTGCTTACTGGCTTGCTCCTTATGGCTTGCTTAGTCTGCTTTCTTATAGAACCCAGGACAATCTGCCCAGGAGTGGCACCACCCACAGAGAGCTGGACCCTCCCACATCAATTATTAACCAAGAAAATACCCCCACAGTGTTGCCTATTGGCCAGTCTGATAAAAGAATTTTCTCAGTTGAGGTTCCCAGATATCCCTGGTTTGTGTAGAGTTGACAAAACAGAATACAACAAACAAACCAGGACACCCAGTGATAAGAAAGGTCTTTAAAACAGTAATAATAACGGGAGGGAGAGAGTGCCACCCTCCTTCATGCTTGTGGAGCTTCTACAAGCATTCTACTCTGAAGTCAGCTTCCCTGAGCCTTCTCTTCTTAGCCATCAAGAGGAGGGGGAATAGCCCCTCACAGTGTGCTGTAGATAAGAATGCTAACTCCCTTTCTGGTGGGCCCTCCAGAGTGGGGAGGTGCCATGATGCTTTCCTACTCACTCAGCAATAGCATTACCCAGCATCCTGGACCATTGTTCTAGCTGAGCCAACTTGGATTTGGTTCTTTCAAGGTTAAGTTTGCAAACAAAGTATAAGACACTCAATTGTGTTTGAATGTCTGACAAAAGAAGACAAAATTTTTTACTGCAGTTCTATACCAGCTCTCATGTGATGTGCCGCATTTAGTAAAGATCCTGTGCTAAATCACTTAAAATACGTGTTCCAAACCTTTTAAAATTTTAAATTTAGACAGGCACATTAGCCTGGTCAGCGGTCACTACAACACTTTAGATGGGGAAATTTATAAACAGAAATATACTAGGTGCAATTTTAGAGGCTAAGAAGCCTGCAGTCAAGATTCCAGTCTATCTAGTTTTGCCCCTGTTTAATAAATGACACATTCTTGCTGCATGTCCACATATAAGACAAAGGAGTGAACACCCACGGGCCTCTGGAGCATTGTCCCTTACCACTACTGCACTGTGATGGAGTTTTAGCATGTGGCTGTCATGGTGATACAAACATGTGGATCATAGCATTGGCATCTTGTGTTTTCCCTTGCTAAATCTGGCCATCTTTCCCTCAAGTCCCCTTTAATTACTCCCTGCTGAGGGCCCAGGTCACAGAGGGCCTTGAGGTCCTGAGGAGGGAGCTCTTGCTTTGGATGTGTATGGTAGCCCACTGCCCTCTGACAGGAGAAGCAAAACCAAGAGCAGGCACGTTGCACTGTGCCCTCTTTTGCAGTATATCCGCGTCTCCTACGACACCAAGCCAGATGCCTTGCTCCATCTCATGGTGAAGGATTGGCAGCTGGAACTCCCCAAGCTTTTGATATCGGTGCATGGAGGCCTCCAGAGCTTTGAGATGCAGCCCAAGCTGAAGCAGGTGTTTGGGAAAGGCCTGATCAAGGCTGCCATGACCACGGGGGCCTGGATCTTCACCGGGGGTGTGAGCACTGGTAAGAGGACCCCCACCCCCACCTCCACCCTCGCTGAGAATCTAAACATCTGGAACTCAACTGAGGTTGCAGAGGCCCTCTTAGTAAGAATGGCCAGGAGACTAGACATGGAATCCTGATCCCAACTGTAACAAGAGGGAAACCTTTATTCAGCAGGGTTTTACTGTTGTGGTGACTGATTTATTTAAATAGTATAAACACAGTTTAGTTAGGTGACTTTCCGTCGCTTAAAAGACACCTGAGATAATTAGCTTACAAAGGGAAAAGGTTTCCTCTGGCTCACAGTGGTAGAGGTTTCAGCCTAAGGCCAATTGGTCTCATTGCTTTGCACCTGTGGCGGTGCCCTGTGGCAGGAGTATGCAGAGAAGCAAAGCAGAGGTGACTAGGGTTGAGGGCTCTTCTAGAGCACACCCCAGGGACCCACAACCACATGCCGGGGCCTTTCTCTTGTACTTTCCACCACCTCCCAACAGTGCCCAGCTGGACACCAAGCATCTAACACAAGGCTTCGGGGGACATTTGAGGGTCTAAACCTCAGTGGGAATGACAGTGATGGTATTGTGCTATTGCCTGAGCATAGCCATGGACAGGTGTCATTTTCCATGAGTCAATAGACATTGTCTTCATACTTTGTGGGACAGTAAAGTGAAGCATATATGAGTTAAGGAACATGCCTGGCAGTCTGTCTCTTGCTGTTAGCAGAATGGAGCCAAGGAGTACCGATGACATCCCAGTGACTTCCAGCTGTGGGTCATAGAAATCTGCAGAGGAAATCCTTGCCCTGCTGTTGTGGGCTCTGCTCTTATTTCCCTACTCCAGGAAGTTACCACAGGATCAGTGGGTATGACACTCATAGGCTTGAGGGAGATTTTCTCTTTGTGAAGAGGATAGGTCACTCCTGATCCACAGGGATAGGTCATGGAGGCTCAGAGCAGGCACCTCTGAAGTTTGTCAGTGGTGGTGTGATGTGGCATAGAAGGGCCTGAAATGTGACATATGGCTGCTCACAGGTGTCGTCAGCCATGTGGGGGATGCCTTGAAAGACCACTCCTCCAAGTCCAGAGGCCGGCTCTGTGCTATAGGAATTGCTCCATGGGGCATGGTTGAGAACAAGGAAGACCTGGTTGGCAAAGATGTAAGTTTTCTCTGCAGACACTGATAGTTTTTAAAAATTGAAGTCTGTATTTTGAGACCTTTGTAAATCCATACATTGTTATACGAAATACCAGAGAGCACTGAAAGGTGCTCATTCCTCTGGTGGAAGCTTCTTGCAAAATGATGGTACAATCAAGACATTGACATTGATACCATCAAGATACGGAACATAACCATCAACCTAAGGAAGACCTGTTTCCTTAAATGCCTATACTAATTTCCTCCCATCCTTTCTTCCTCTTTAACACTGACAATCACTTATATTTTTGGTTGTGAGCCTAGTCTTTAACGGCTGAGCCATCTCTCCAGCCCCCCTCCCCGACAATCACTAATGTGTTACATATCTCTATTTTTTTTGTTATTTTCAGGTTGTGGTATCACTTAATATGCAACCTTAGAGGGATGGGTTTCTCTAGCCTATGTAATTCTCAGGACACTCAGATCATCATGGGTTCCTTCCCACTGTTGAATGGTGTTCTGTGATGTGGATTCTACTGCAGGTTGTTTAGCCACTCTCTCTTGAAAAACATCTAAGGCTGTTTATAGCTGGTCTATTAGAAATAAAGTTGCAATAAAATTTGTACTCAGAGGGCTGGGGAGACAGCTCAGTGAGTGGGCAAAGTGCTTGCTGAACAGGCATGAGGGCTTGAGTTTGGATTCACAACATTCATGTATAAAGCTGGGTGTGATGGACTGTGACTGTAATCCCAGTGCTGGAAACAAAGTCGGGATCCTGGGGATTCACTGTCAGCCAGTCTAGCAAGTAACTGAGCTTCATGTTTAATGAGAGACCTTGTCTTAAAAAACAAGGTGGAAAGCAATTTGAGGAAGATGCTCAGACTGACCACACGTGCACACATACACACATGTATATACACCACACACATGTATATGTATATACATCATACACATATGCATTTATGTATATACGCCACACATAGAGGCACACACAGAGACACTAATGTGTGCTCAAGATTTTGTGTTACTGTCAGTTTTCATTTCTCTGCAGTAATTATTGGGTTGTCTTTGTCTAAGACAGTGATTCTCAACCTGTGGGCTGCCACCCCTTTCAACCAATTTCTAACAATGAAAATACACCCTACATGTCATATATTTACATTATGATTCATAATAGTAACAGAATTACAGTTGTGAAGTAGCAATGAAAATGATTCAATGGTTGGGGGACACCACAACACGAGGAACTGTATTAAAGGGGTGCCGCATTAGGAAGGTTGAAAACCACAAATAGAGAAAGCAGTTTCTTTCAGTCTTAATACATTAATTGAGAAAACAGCCTTCAGTGTGTACAGTAGAGAGATGAGACTATGTTTACATGTGGTATGTGTACAACATGTGGTATGTGTACATAGTGCTTGAGTGTCCTGTGACTCTTAATATCTAAGCCCTGAAGCTCTGATTAGCATCGTGCATTTTGTTAGGTCACGAGAGTCTACCAGACCATGTCCAACCCTCTGAGCAAGCTCTCCGTGCTCAACAATTCCCACACTCACTTCATCCTGGCTGACAACGGCACTCTGGGCAAGTATGGTGCTGAGGTGAAGCTTCGAAGGCAACTGGAAAAGCATATCTCACTGCAGAAGATCAACACAAGTAAGTCCTGGGAGGCTGTGGACACCAGCTGGGGACTGACCCTACCAGGGCGGATGCCAGCTGAGAAGAAAGTCACCCAAGGGTGTCGAGAGTATTCCCAGGTCCAAGGGACACGACCCTTTGCCCTAGCCACCTGTCGTTGCCATCACATGATGCTCTGCCCAAGTTCACAAGTTGGTCTGAGAAGTACCCATGCACTATTTGTCACGGTGATGGCACTGTCCATCATGTTGCCCGTATTCTTGTTTACAGTAGCTACAGCCATTATTTTCTTTAATGTTTTATTAGAAAAAAATTGTTCTCAAAGACTTAGTATGAGTCATCCTATAAACTGAAAGCATTGTAGAGCCATTAAACAGCTCTGTAGATCTGAGTCTCACAAGGACCAAGATGGTCAGACAAGGAAGTCCCTGGGCCTGACTGCAGGGCTGTCTGTTCCCAAAGGACACTGTCCTTGCTGGTCCAGTTGGCATAGCTTTGAGGAAGGAACACCTATTGCTAGGGAAAATTTGAGTGTAAGCTATAGAGAAAGGACCGGATACCAGACTGATGAAAGCATGAGCTCGTTAGAACGAAGGTAGTTGGCATAACCTCCCGGGGCATGTCCACATGTAAAAACTCTGTCAAACAATTATTAAATGGTCTCACAGAATATTTCATCCTGTTTTTGTTTTTGCCATTTTTATTGAGCTATACATTTCCCCCATTCCCCTTCCTCCTTCCCTCTCCCTTCCCACCTTCCCCCTGCCCCTCATACTTCCAATTTACTCAAGATATCTTGTCTATTTCGCCTTCCTATCATTCTTAACATCACCATCAATATCTTTGTGCACAACAGCCTATGCCTGGGAAATGGTTGTAATGTAAGGAACTGAGATATCACTCAGGTGTGTAGGATTGGCCTGGCCACCATGAAAGGCTATGGATTTCCAAGAACCAGCTTAAACATATTCCTATCAATTCTTTGAGAATTCCATACAATTAATTTTTTATTATATCACTCCCCTACTTCTCCAAGATCTACCCTTATGCCCCCCCCAAATTCATGTCCTCTTTTCAAAAAATAACTCATTGTGTTCTATTATTCTGACTGTGCGCTTATGGGTGTGGGGCCGTCCACTGGAGTGTGGTGAACCTACCAGAGGCCACACTCTGAAAGAAAACTGACTTCCTTCCCACAGAAACCATCCACTTGTCAACCCCTGTCCACCCCCACACAGATGTTGATGGGCCTGATCTTGCTCTGACAGTCACACTACTACAAGTGCAATATGGCCCCAAGAATTTGATCTTGATGGATAACTCGGTTGTATTTGTTTCACACTTTAATTTTTTTGGTTTTGTAAGTTCTACCTGGACCAGTGACTTGTGGGCTTCCCTTTGTCATCCTTTGCCTAGGCCTCTGAGTGGGGCAAGGACAGCAAAGGGGGGCTCAGTTGTCACCTCTCCTGCAGAGAGCTCCAGGAGGAGCCTGAGACAAGGACAAGTTCTCTGTTTCTGGAGATGAAGTCACCACTTTCCTGAAGCTGTAACCTCCCAGGCCTACTTAGAATCTCAAAGACAGAAGAAATGCCATCCATTTTTCATTATTTCTTGTTCATGGTTTAGCCCATGTCATACCTTCAACGCTTGTTTGCCAAAACAAACTTAACTGTAATTAGTTCATCAGGAGATAACAAAGTTGTTCTAAATACCTGAGTATCCCCTGGAGAAAGCATAGTGGAAGGAAACCAGACGCTCTGAGTTCACTCCCTGAGATTCTCATAGACTGGGCTGACAGAATTTTTATCTGGAGCTCTTGGGAACCATGAGGTCAAGGACATTTTTCCCCAATTGCCCCTTGTAATGTTGATCACAGCTCCAGAAGCCTAGCAAAACCTGATCAGCAAACAGAAAAGCCCAGAACTTAAGCTGGGTGGTGGTGGCACACACCTTTAATCCCAGCACTCGGGAGATAGAGGCAGGCATATCTCTGTGAGTTCAAAGCCAGCCTGTTTTACAAAGCTACACAGAGAAAGCCTGTCTTGAAAAACCAAAAAATAAAGATAAAAAACTTTTAAAGCCCACAACTTCATGGCCACAGATGGAAAACATTCAGGAGACAAAATTCAGTCTTTAATTAATGTGTACAGACTTTTTCCTGGTCATTATTCCTAAATAACACAGTATAATAACTACTTCCATGCCATTACATCATGTCAGGTATTGTAAGCCCCTAGAGGTGGTTTGAAGCACATGGGAATGTAGATGCTGATAATGTACTATGTTACATAAGAGACTTGAGAGTCTTGAATTTGGTGTTCAGGGGGTAGCATGACGGTCTGGAACTAATTCCCAATAAATGCCAAGGAGAAACTATGTGATATGTATTGGCCAGGCAGGGCTGACATTTTGAGGTAAGCAAATTTGTCATGAAGAGTCCTCTCCCACTGTCCTCTCAGTGTGATCTCAGCCTCCCAGAATTCTCCTATCACTCCCTGTTTTCTAGAGCCCACCCTACCAGATCTATTCCTACTGGGTTTTTGAAGAGCCCAATTATTTACTTTTTGTTTTGTTTTGTTTTTGTTTTTTTCAGACATTGTTTCTCTATCCTGCAACTTGCTCTGTAGATCAGGCTGGCCTCGAACTCACAGAGATCTGCCTGCCTCTGCCTCCCGAGTGCTGGGACTAAAGGCATGTGTCACCACTGCCTGGCTTATCTACTTATTTTAAAGCAGAGGCAGTCCCTGGAAATAACTCATTAGAAATGGGCTAATAGTGAGCCATGATTTTGCCACTAAAATGATATCCCGGGGGCAGAGGTGTTTCAGACTTCAGAGTTGAAATTGTGGCATATTTGCATGACCTTTACCACTGATCATCTCCAATCCAAAAAAAAAGAAAAAGAAAAAAGAAATGAAAAGATACCTACGAAGCCCTTGGTTTCAGACCTCAGCTATTTAGACTAGAGATGTTTAACTTGTCCTGCCTTATTCCAGGCTCTGGAGGCAGTAAGAAGAGCACACTGCTGCACACGTGCACCTCTTCAACGTCCCAAAGGCAAATGTGTTCTTATACTTCAGACCCACTCCTCCTCATGGGTTAAGTGAGGCACTGTTTCTCTTACACTTGCTCATCTGTGAGATGGAGCTGTGGCCAGGCCCGGCATTTGCACGCCCACACGGGAGATGCCCTGCATTGAGCTAACTCCCCTCTGGCTCGGCCAGCCCTCCTTACACTGGATCATTCTTAGGAGGCAGCCTCCGGCATGGGAATGTCACACACAGGCAAGGCAGGAAAGGAGCATTCTCAGTATTGACTCTTAAAGCTCACTCCCTGGTGTCCCTGTGTCCGGTTCCTTACAGGACTTGGTCACATGGGAGTGTCTGGCAGCTCAAGAGTTTTGAGGGTCTGGAGTTTACAGTGAGGCCATGATACGAAGTTCGAATGCAAGAACGAACACAGTCGCCCTTCCCCTGACTTAATCCTCCTGTTGTCAACATTGGCGCCACAGGGAAAGGCCTGGAGCAGGAAGCTTGTACCTTTTGCTGTCTCAGCAAGTTGGCGATGTCACGCTGGCTTGAAGAGCAAGTGTGGTTGTGTTGCAGGGCTGGGCCAGGGTGTGCCCGTCGTGGGCCTCGTGGTGGAAGGTGGTCCTAATGTGGTTTCTGTCGTCCTGGAATACCTCAGAGAAGACCCTCCTGTCCCCGTGGTGGTGTGCGACGGCAGTGGACGGGCCTCCGACATTTTGTCCTTTGCACACAAATACTGTGAAGAAGGAGGGTAGGATTGGCATGGGATGAGGGTGGGCACTTTATGGCCTCCCGTTAGGCTGAGGAAAACATCTGACTTGATCCTCTCAGACATACCAGAAGTATCTAACTCATAAGGAGTTTTCTTGATCTCCTCTCTAGTTCCCAAGGTCAGCATAAGGGAGTTCCTGTTTCTGACCAAATCCCCTGTGAATCCTCTCTCTTACAACTTCATTTTCCCTTATAAGTCTCAAAAAAAAGCTAAACTGAGGCCAATTTCAATCCGCTTTTAGGGTGACTTTTTGTCTCCTGTATACAAATCTGTGCCATTAGCAGCCACAAATCAAAGACACTTGGGTGGGCGAAGCTGTCGGGTTACTCTGGAGTTGCCCTAATTCCCTTGCTTCCTTCTCTCCCTTTACCCCTTTGAACAGGGTCATAAATGAATCCCTGAGGGACCAGCTCCTAGTCACCATTCAGAAAACATTTAATTACAGCAAGTCACAATCACATCAGCTGTTTGCAATTATCATGGAGTGCATGAAGAAGAAAGAACTCGTGAGTGTCTTGAATTTATTTCCAAACACATTCCATGGAGAGAGCTGTTTCCTTGTCTAGCTCTGCCATCCATGCTAGATGGACTTCTGCATACTTCAGTTGACCTTCCCAGAAGGCAACTTAGAAACTCATTCCAAACTAGCTGCCTGTGTGCACCTGCGGGAGGGAAAAAGTCCACAGAAGGTCCCAGGTGTTGCCAGACCTTAGCAAACATGAGGTGACGTCATACCATGTTTCTCAACTCAAGAGATGCAAAACATAAATCAGACTTAAAGTCCCTGGGAAGAGAGACATGCGACAGCCCTTTGGATGTGGTTACAAAGTCAAACCCACTTCCCTTTGCAAATGCAGGGATCATTTCTCATTCCTTCCTTCAACTGTATTTATAAGGCTCTCCTTATGGCAACGGATTCAAAGTTCTTGGTATGCAAATTCTCTGCTAACATATTCCTTCTGATTAGATGTGCATTCCAGCTCAGGTGGCTGTAAAGTTCCCCAATAAGCACCCTCTTCCCCAGATGGGATAAACAATAAACTCCAAATCCAGGCAAGGATTCTGTCAGCAAGAGCAACATGGCGCCTCCTGGAGACTGAAAACTCTTGTGAACATCTAACCTGCTTTCTGCTTCACTGCACCAGTCTTTGTGTTCAGTTTTTGTTGTTTTGGGTTTTTTTAAAGCAGTCACTTCTTCCTCTTGTTTTCAATGTTGTCCCGATTCTGTCTTTTCCCCCATTCATCTGTTTCCAGGTCACTGTGTTTCGGATGGGTTCTGAGGGTCAGCAAGATGTGGAGATGGCAATTTTAACCGCCCTGCTGAAAGGTGAGCTTCTGGGAAGTGGCGATTCTGATTTTTTTGTCTTTTCAGAGCTGCCTGGCAAGGGCTTTGCCAACAGCGGGCACACCTTCACTTTCCCTCTCGTTAAGAACCCCGAGAGGGCCAGGTTGTCTGGGGGGTGACATCAGCATGAAATGCTGGAATGACCAGACTCTGAGAGGACATTCTGTGGCACCCATGATGTTACCGACTTGTCAGAGGTGTTTCTATCCATAGATGTCTCAGTGGGTCTGGTTCCTGAACACTGCAGACCACCTCTAACGACAGTCTGTGATGAGGAGCTTATGATATGGTGGGGTCTCCCTGTGAGAAGCAGATTTCCTCTCTGCCTCTCAGAAAGTCTGGTGCTATAGGGACAAGAGGAGGTTCACCACAGACTCGACGCTACACTGGGTGGCCTCTGTGCTGCTCCAAGGCTTACAGTCCTTGGCCCAACCTGGCAGATGTCAGGCAGTTTCAGATTTCTCTCCTTTTCAGATCAGAAAAGAATGAATTAGTTAGCTCCTCCTCCATCCCTTCCAGGAAACCATGCCTGGTTGGCTTGAGATGAGATTGCCTCTGGCTTCTTCTAAGGAAATCTTTAAAAAGAAATAAAGCAGAGTTGTTAGCTTTGGTGGTCATTTGGGGACAAGAAAGAAAGAAGTAATAGATGCCTAGTTCCCAGTTCCCACTGGGAAGCCCAAGTTCCTTTCCCAGAACCTGCCCAACTCAGGCAGTCCAGACGCATATGAGGAACTCTCACTCCTTCCTTTCCCAGGAACCAACGCGTCGGCTCCAGATCAGCTGAGCTTGGCACTGGCTTGGAACCGAGTGGACATAGCACGAAGCCAGATCTTCGTCTTTGGCCCACACTGGCCGGTGAAACTTTTTATGCTATTTTTGGTTTGGTTTTCTGGAGACAGGGACTCATATAGTCTAGGCTGACCAAGAAGGTGCTATGTAGGCAAGACTGGTCTTGAACCCCTGATTCTCCTGCCTTTACCTCCTGAGTGCTGTGGTTAAAGGCAGTCACAACTGTGCCTGTTGGAATGGCTTTCTGTTTAGAATACTTATTGTGACGTGGCATGGTACCGTGTTAGTGTGTCCTTGATCATCACATGGATCTCAGACAATGATCTCGGGGTTCTGATCTGGGTAATCCATGTGATTACTGGGAGATGTTGCTGCTTAATTTCAGAGAAACCAAAGAAACAAAAGCTCGGAGCATTGATTCTGCCCTGAGCGGGTCTTCCTAAGGAAACTAACCACCAAACCTTTCATCATTGCTTGTAAAAGATGGTTTCTACTCTTTGAAAGAAGAAAATGGATCATTAACATTTCCTTCTAGGGCACTGAAGTTTCAGACTGTTTCTTGAAACTTTGGGAGGGCTTAGAGAACTCCGTGTGATGTGTACTTGATATGATTGTTGTATGTAGTGTCTTTTTTCTAGTATCTGTAGTATGGTTCAATGTATTGTATGCAATAAGTCTATGCATAGCACATGTGTGGCATATATGGCTTATATGTTGGTTGTGAGATCATGTAGTTTAAAATGTGTGGTGTCTGGGTTTATAACGTGTGTGTGTGTGTGAGAGAGAGACAGAGAGAGAGGGAGAGGGAGAGACAGAGAGAGACAGAGAGAGAGGGAGAGGGAGAGACAGAGAGAGACAGAGAGAGAGAGAGAGAGAGAGAGAGGAAGAGAGAGAGAGAAGGAGAGAGAGATAATGGACATGTGTAACTTTTGTGCCTGTCTTATCTATAGAACAGTGTCTTACGTATTGCTATATGATGTGCTGTGGTATGATGTGTGGAGGCAGGTGTGTGTGTGTGTGTGTGATTGGCATGTGTGTGTTTTATTGAGGGATATTTTGTATATGTGTGGCTGTGAAAATGTATATGGAAGGGAGACATGGTATATGTGTGGTTGGAAGATTATGTATGTTATGTAGGGCAAGCTGTGTGTATGTGCACACACATGCAACCATAATGAGCACATACATTTAGCATGTATGGTAAGTGACTCAGGTGTCCTTAAGTCACTCTTTCAATCAAAGTAACTTCTTTGCTCTAAAGATTAGAGAATAAACCAGCGACAGGCTATAGAGCCACACAAGGATCTCAAAGGAATGTCAGAGACACTATTTCCAGCAATAATTACTCAGGCCATATTTGAAGTTTGAAGCATACTTTCCTCTTTGTGGATGTGGTCCATGCCATCCCACATCCTTTTAAAGGTGTGGTACCTACAATGTACCCTGTGTTGTATGTGATCTCCCAAGAACAGCACAGATGACTATTACCTGCCTTGTGTCGGCTCTATTCATCCACCAGCCCAGAAACAGAATCATTTCACCCCTATTAACCCATCTGCAGAAATCGTCCTCCCAGGGTTCTGTCATGCACACCACCTGCTACACAGATCCCCCATCCCACAGCTCTGGGGAAGTGGTAGCCATTCTAGGGCCAGGCAGGATGCACCCAGGGCCAGGGATGGGGCAAGTGGAGTAGCTATTCTGTTCCTTGTCATCTTTTGCCTTGCTAGATTGAGTCTGGCATGACACAGCCTTATCACGGGTTGTAGGACTCCAATTATGTCATCCACCTGATTTTTGTCATGTCTGAAGCAAATGCCACCAATACCCTGGTCTCTCTCTAGGCTACCACTTTTCTCTTGTTCTCTGGGATTTCTCCCTACTATTCAATTTTAACCTATTGTGGAGTGTGGAGTGTCAACAACTAAAGTGTATGATAACTACAGCCACCCATCAGGTGCTCTCTTCGGGATAGCCCCTGAAGTTTCTCTTCAGAAACCCCTCTTCTGCTAGCCCAGGCTACAAGCTGATTCCTCTGAGGTTATCCACAGTCCTCTTGGAATCCCAGATGTTAGCCAGGAAGCAGAGTAGGCGAGTTCTTCTGAGCAATTTGAACTCCCTTTCTATAGCAGTGACACCCCTTGTGCCTTCTCCACCCCCCAACAACAGCAGGGCCAGAATCTGCATCAGGGAAAGGCTGCTGCTTCACACTTGCTCAACGTGTTTTCAAAACTGCATATTTACTTACCTATTTAGGAAATGTTGGTTGATGGCTGCTTCTTGAGTATGGGACTCTTGTTTCATGTTCTGGAGACACAATTGTGAGTAGAGTAGACTCACAAAAGTCTCTAACACTGGGGGAATGGAAAGAAGGAGGAGGATGGCATGAAACAAAATTGCAGATAATTATTGGATTCCAAATTATAGGAGGAGCTAAGAGAGAAGATAAGCATGCGTGAGAGAGAATACAGGGTGCTAATTTGTAATGGAGTGCCAGGAAAGACATTGCTGAAGCAGATGGAGTGGACCCTGAGTCTGGGTGGTGAACAGATAAATGCTGGTTTCCATGCAGGAGGAAGGGCACCTGGAAGAGACTGAGGCAAGAAAGAGAAGGGTAAAACAACAAGAAATGGGAGCATTATGGCTGGAATACTAAGTGAGCAGGGGTGATTCAGGAGAAGGATGAAACCTGGCCAGGTTGTGTGCTTCTGAGTCCTGCAGATAAAATCCAGGACTGAATGCTGGGGCATAGAAGCTGGGGGCACACAGAAAGTTGTTGTGTTTGTTTGGTTGCTTGGTTGTTTTAAGCAACAGCACTTGTTATCCTTCACTGTTTCTGAGGGTCAGGAACTTAGGGCTAGCTTAGCTGGGGCTTCTGGCTCAGAGACTCCCATTAATGGAAGCGTGGAGTTTATCCTTGGGTGACTGATTATCTTCTTCCACTTAACATAGTGTTCTCAAGGCCCCTCCACTCTTCCACTCTAGATGTGTCGTGTGTCAGAATGTTCTCTCTTTTTCTTTTATTTGTTCCCTTCTTCCCTCCCTCTCCCTCCATCCTTCCTCCATCCTTTCCTCCCTCCCTCCCTTCCTTCCTTCCTCTTCTTTCCTTCTGCCTTTGAGGTCTTCATCTGTCACCACATTGCATGTGACTCTATCGCCTCTATTGGGGGATGTTCTTCTGTATATATGTTTCTCTTATTGGTTGATTAATAAAACACTATTTGACCAATAGAGGAAGATAGGCAGGACTAGAAGACAAGGAGAATTCTGGGAAAAGTAGGCAAAGAAGTGCAGGAAAGAGTCACCATGTGGAGACCAGGAGGACAGGACATGCCAGGCATTCTCTGGTAAGATAAAGGCCATGTAGAGATACATAGATTAGTAGTTATGGGTTAATAATTAAGACAGAGCTAGCCAATAAGAAGCCCTAGTCATTGGCCAACAGTTTTATAATTAATATAGCATCTGTGTGTTTCTTTGGGGCTGAGAAGGGTGGTGGGACTTGGTGGGAAAAGAGAACCACTAGCAGCAAGCCTCTACCCATAACCACACTGCATGTGCTCCCGAAGCCTCCACCATCACCACACTGCAGTGCTCCTGAAGCCTCCACCACCACACTGCACGTGCTCCTGAAGCCTTCACCACCACACTGCATGTGCTCCTGAAGCCTCCACTCATCACCACACTGCACGTGCTCCTGAAGCCTCCATCACCACACTGCACGTGCTCCTGAAGCCTCCACCATCACCACACTGCACTTGCTCCTGAAGGCTCCACCACCACCACACTGCACGTGCTCCTGAAGGCTCCACCACCACACTGCACGTGCTCCTGAAGCCTCCATCACCACACTGCACGTGCTCCTGAAGCCTCCACCACCACACTGCACGTGCTCCTGAAGCCTCCACTCATCACCACACTGCAGTGCTCCTGAAGCCTCCACCATCACCACACTGCACGTGCTCCTGAAGCCTCCACCATCACCACACTGCACGTGCTCCTGAAGCCTCCACCATCACCACACTGCATGTGCTCCTGAAGCCTCCACCACCACCACACTGCACGTGCCTAATGATGGGAGGATGTGAACTGTGAATGAGTCAGAGGAAACAGATAATAATGCAAGTTGCTGTCCAGGGAGAAATGTAGTTGGAGATTATTGTGACTAAAGCACCTCTGGAAGATGCCTTGGAGCTGCTCGATGTGGGACTGTCAGCACACCTCTGGTACCTTTTAACTTGCCTCTCAGCACCCTTTCCTCAAAATAAACCCATCAATCAACATGTCACACACTTCAAATATTCACAGCCATTACATCAGACCAATTAAGTCTTTGTGCCCCTGATGAACAGTGGTTCACAGTATTAGAATCTTCTTCATCAGACAGCCAGGCCACGGTAACAGAGTTTGCCTCTGTATACATGTGTGCATGCCTGTGTGTGCTGGTGCATGTGTGTCATGGTTGTTGGCATATGTGTGTACTACTTATGTACATGTTCATAGGTTTACCTATGGGTGTGTACACCTTCACGGTGCGCACATTATTTATATGAATGTGCATGTGGACACTACCATGTGTACATGTGTGCATGCTATTCATACCTGTGGATATATGTGAGCCTGTGCTATGTGTTCATGTGTGAGCATATAGGTATGTGTATATAATCCATGTGTGTACATATAGAGTTTAGGGTGTCACTATGCTTGACTTAGAATAAGGGGCAGTCTTGGTTCCCTTTCCCAACACTGCTTGCTGTGTATTGCAGCCACTGGGGAGCCTGGCCCCACCGGTGGACACCAAAGTCACAGAGAAGGAGAAGAAGCCGCTGACAGCCACCACCAAGGGGAGAGGGAAGGGAAAAGGCAAGAAGAAAGGCAAAGTGAAAGAGGAGGTGGAGGAGGAAACGGACCCCCGGAAGATTGAGCTGCTAAACTGGGTGAGTGCAAAGTCCTTGCTCGTGGGTCTTGAGATTGCGGGCCAGAGTTGGCACTGCCCTAGTTCTCCAGGGAAGTGAAACTCTGGTTACCTTCACTTCATCCCCACCGGGATGGAGGATTGATGGGCTGATGCCAATATTTCAGTGGCAATAGTGCGTTCATTACTGTGTCATAAGTAGGAGTGATTGTCATTACAGCATCTGCTTGTCACTGCAAAGGCCCTGCTTGCCTGTGTTTTAGCAACAGGGAGACCTGAAAATATTGTGCATGGATGGCTCCAGCCTCCCAAGCTGGGTAGCTGTTGCTACCCATCCATCACCCTCTCCACAGCACCACTAGCTCCATCTTCAAAAGGGTTTTGTTATGTGAATTGTAAACATGTGGTTAGTTTCCCTGATTTTTCTGTACCAAGTGTCTGCATGCCTGCCAAGCACAGAGAGTGATGACCAGGGCTTCCTTTCGGAGTGGTACATTTGTTCCATAAGTAGGAGTGTGTGGCCACTCACCAATACTGCACCCCAGTGGCCTATGACATGCCCACACGATCCTACCACCACCAAAAGATGCTCCCCAGCCAAGGAAACAGCTGAGACAAACTGCAAAGGGCAACACTGGGATGGTTGTCTTCAACTCAGTAAAAATTTTTAGATTTATTTGTGTTTATTATTTATATGTATGAGTGCTTTGCCTGCATGTATGTATGTATGTGCACCACACACTTGCCTAATACCTACAGAAGTTGGAGGAAGGCATTGGATCTCCTGGGGCTGGAGTTAACAGGTAGGTTGTAAACTGTCGTGTAAGTACTGGGAATTGAACCTGGGTTCTCTTTCGAGTGCAGTAAGTGCTCTTAGCTTTTGAGTCAACTCTCCAGCCATCTTCAACTCATTTTTAAAAAAATCCATTACAGACTTTGACAGAGCATGTGGGGACCAGGATGAATAGAAAGGAGAGAAGGTTAAGGCACATTTATTCAAAGGAAACAACCCTGGGAACCACACCCTGGTTGCAGCCCTTAGAACAGCTCTTGACTGGCATATGTGAGGTCATGGACTCAAGTCCCAGCACCAAATCAACAAACAAAATGACAGAGAATACATCTCAGAACTTTCCATGATGTGTCCTGATGTTTCCTGCCTGGAGTCTCCAGGGAGGAAATTCATGGTCTCCCTTCTGGATTTCATTGCAGGTGAATGCCTTGGAACAAGCCATGCTGGATGCTCTTGTTTTAGATCGGGTTGACTTTGTGAAGCTCTTGATTGAAAACGGGGTGAACATGCAACACTTCCTCACCATCCCAAGGCTGGAGGAGCTTTACAACACTGTAAGCATCCCAGGGAGAAGGCTGGAGGCGAGTTAGTACTCAGAACACTCTCATCACTGACACATATTATGCTACAACAACAAAGCACTCGGTTGAGTATAGACTCACTGGGGCAGCTTCAGCTGAAGGCCAGTGTGTAGTGGGGGGCAGCTAATTCTCACTTGGTCCTGGCCAGTCTGTGTTAATATTCTTAGCAACTGTGCCGTGCCAGTCAGTCACTCCAGCTAGAGTAGACAGATGATTCTTGATGTACAGCAGTCTCATATCTTCATAAAGCCACCTCTGTAGTGAAAGTGTCCTAAGTTGAAAATGTACTTGAAGCCGGGCGGTGATGGCACACACCTTTAATCCCAGCACTTGGGAGGCAGAGGTGGGCAGATCTATGTGAGTTTGAGGCCAGCCTGGTCTATAGGGTGAGTGCCAGGACAGGCTCCAAAGCTACACAGAGAAACCCTGTCCCTCAAAAAAAAAAAAAAAAGAAAGAAAGAAAGAAAGAAAGAAAGAAAGAAAGGAAAATTGTAAAGGGAAGCCTTCCCGCCAAGATGTAACACCATGGGATAGGAAGCCCGGAAACTTCTCCGTTAAGAGAAATACTTAGATTAACAATTATGGGATAAATACTTTAGTCAGAGCTAGCCAGTAAGAAGCAAGCAAGGCCAACCGCTTCATAACTAATATAGCCTCCTGTGTGTTCATTTGGGACTGATGCGGCTCTGGAACCAGGCTGGTGGGAAGGCTTCTCTCAAGGAAAAGGCTTCCCTTTACAGAAAATGTACTTGAACTTGATGGTCCCAACCCTCTGACCATCATGACACAGAGCACAGGCATTCCCTGGGGGTTATGAGGCTCACCTGGAGCTGTAGCTCACGTGGAGAATGAGGTAAGGACCTAACTCAGTAGCCTGGGGGAAGGATTCCAATTCAGTTTCTCGTAAAGACTCATGTGCAAAAGAGAAAAGTCTAAAATGACCTGATGAACCCTTGCAAATCTGCATTTGCATCCTATGCTTGTGGCGCGAGAGGACTTCATGTCCTAAGGTAGCAGCAGACTGAACAGTCCCCAGGGTTATTAGTCAACTGTTGCTCTCGACCCTCACGCTTCCCTGGCTATAGGGAACATTTTAACAGCTAGGGCCTGTGTCAGAAAGGGAAGTGAACGGATGAAATCTGCTACGCCTGCACTAGTACAATTCTAATTTTGAAAATGTGTGTCTTCTTCTATCATTCGGCAACTTTCAGTGGCAGAAATGCTGTAAAACGTGCAGATATTTAATACTGCAAGAACACTAAAATTGTTCATAGCATTTCACACACATTTTAATGTGGTAACCACAGCAAGTTGTCTTATAAAATAAATGAGTCAGCAGTAGATTACAAACCCCACAATGCAGTGGGGCAGAATTTTGCTCAAGACTTGAAGAGCTAACCATACTTACTGTGACTGACTGCTTCCTTTCCAGAGACTGGGCCCACCAAACACCCTTCATCTGCTGGTAAGGGATGTAAAGAAGGTAAGTCCATCTGCCCTTTACCTGCAAGCATCCACCGCTAAAGCAGTTCATAAAAACAATTTTCTGTTTCTGACACGTGTTGCCTTCTTATTTGAGACATAGGGAACAATGACTTCCTCTGTTCATAAAAAGTTCATTTTTATTTTTAAAAAGATTTTTATTTATTTATTAATTATGTATACAGCACTCTGCCTCCATGTACACCTGTAGGCCAGAAGAGGGCACCAGATCTCATTATAGATGGTTATGAGCCACCATGTGGTTGCTGGGAATTGAACTCAGGACCTCTGGAAGAGCAGCCAGTGCTCCTAACCTCTGAGCCATCTCTCCAGCCCACAAGTTTATTTATAACTGATATATTATTTATGATTTATTAAAGCTTGCCTGAGGATTCAGAAAGCAAAGCCAGCCTTTAGCTATAGAGATCAGGCAGTGGTGATACACACTGTTAATCCCAGGGCTCAGGATTAAGAGGTAGATGGGTCTCTGTTAGTTCAAGGCCACACTTAACAACATGAAATATATCTAGGCCTAAAGAGAAACAGCTCACACAAAGATGATCTCAGCACTTGGGATCACACTCCTTTAATCCCAGGACTCATGAGAGGCATTTAAGACAGGAACAGGGTCTCAGGGCTGGCCTTCATTCTCCAGTCACATTGAGGATAGGAAGGCATTGATTGGAGTGTCTAGCCATGTTGAGGAGAACATAGCAGTCTGAGTGATCTGAGGAGCAGTGAAGTCAGGAGCAGTCTGAGGGTCTCCCTTTTGGTCTGAACTGAGGTAGAGGTAAGAGCTAGTGGTCGGCTGCTTTTCTTTCATGATCTTCTGCTTGAAGCTTGAACCCCAATACCTATTTCTGGATCTTTTATTTTCCATACTACATATAGCTTTAAAAAGGGAAGAATAAGGGTGAGGGAGATGGCTGTAAAGTGCTTGGAGTGGGAATTTGGATTCCTAGAATCCAGTAAATGCTAGGTGAGGTCCCGTGAGGTGACTCAGCAGGTGAGGGGCTTGCTGACAAGTTTGAGTACCTGACTTTGATCTCTGGAACTCACACGGTAGAAGGAGAGGAGTAGCTTCTACAGGTTTCCCTCTGACCTCCACAGTTGCACTGTGACACACACACACACACACACACACACACACTATATATATATATATAACACTCTATATATATATAATTGTTTTTTAAAAAATCCCACCTCCACCCCTCAAGCCCATCACCCTAGCCTGCCAGAAGTAGAACAGAGAATCCCTGAAGTAAGCTGGCATGGTCCAGGTTCATTAGAGCCTCTACTTCAATATATAAGATAGGGAGAAGTTGAGGAAGACACCAGACATCAACCTCAGGTCTCCACACACATGTGCACACATGCATGCATGTGTACCTGCACACACAAACACAAGTACACACACGCATGCATACCAAACGAACACGTACATGCAGAAAGCAAAACTGGAACTTAAGTTAGCGGCAGGTAGATTAAGCTTTGTCACAGCTCGAGAGCCCACTGATGCTGCGGGATGAAAAAGCACCAAGGTGACCCCAGAAGTGCCAACAGGAGGCTCCTCGGGAGGTCTGAGTGCCCTGTGTATGGCATCAAAGGGTCTTAGCCCTTTGCAATTCCCTCATTTCTAAGGGGAATGGCTCTCCTCATTCTCCAGGGCTCCCCACTATGGACAGCCTGTGTTCTGTGGGGTCTTACTCACTGGGTCCTACTCTGTTATCTCTTGTGTCTGGTCATCACAAGTTAGAGATGAGATCAGGTTCTCACAGGAGCACTCTGTCTCTAGAATGCGACAGTGGGGCTTTTGGTCAGAGTCGTGGATGGCCTGGCTGTTTTTCTTGTCAGTGTTCAGTTCTCAGAATATGAGCGTATGATTTCTACAGAGCAGAATGAAATCGGTGGATCTGGGGAGTGAGGACCTCAGAGAGGGCCCCTCGGGCGCAGAGCCTTGTTCCGCACACAGGTGTTCTGCCTCCTCCCTCAAGACCCAGGTGGAAGAAAGATGAGGCAGCGCAGCCTTTCACAATGAGAGCTATCAAGCCCAACCGTTTCCCAGCTGAGTGACTTCCATCATCGCCCCTTCTCCTGTAGTCCCACCACCCGCCACTTGATTCCCTCTTCATAATCACCACCCCAAACAGCTCCGTGGCTGCACTATGAAGTTCAAACTTGTTCCAATACACATACATTCCCACCTGGTCCATGCCCGTGACCCCCACTCCCCGCACCACATCCCACCATGCTCTAAACCAACCCGCTTGAACATGGGGAGCCCCGAGAGACTGCATTCTGTCCGGGCCACACCTCCTCACATCCACTTGCTCTTTCTCTTTTTACCCCATCGTCCCTGCTCCATGGTTCCCAAGTCATCATCTCCTGGCAGCCCTTATTCCCCCTAAACGACCCATCTAGGCATCTCCAGACACTCCCCGTGAGTTCCACGCGATGCTGCACTGGGCTCTTCACAGCTCCATCCATCTCCCCAGCACAAGGCTCCTTTGTCGCCAATGAGAAATCTGTGGGCTGGGCTGTAGGTGGACAGCAGAGCGCATGCCTGCCGTATAGGAAGCCCTGAGCTCAGTCCTCAGCACTGAAACAGTCCCAGGAGTAAGAAATATGCAGCACCGCCAACGATCGTAATAGGATCAATAGGTCCCAGTGTACCAAAATCATTTCAGCTGTTACAAAACTAACGGGCTCAATGGTATATCAGTCCATCTAGGATGTGGACAAGTCGCACCATGCAGTGGGCACCCCTCTTTGGCACCCCTCTTCAGGCCACTGCTTCTCGACACCCGGACTCTGTCCCAGCAAACCCTCTCCCACGTGGATAAGAGTCAGTCCCTCTGGTAGCTCCCTGTCATAGCAGAAAGCTTCTGGTTGTGTTTTTACTGAAGACCCAGCATACCCCAGCGTCACTGGGCACTATTTAAACTTTCACCAGAGAGGCTCAAGCCCTGAAAACTATGCTGCCCTCCTACAGGTTCCCACGAGACCGGCTGCTCCCCTTCCCTGAGGCTAGCTTCTCCTCCCCAAGGGGCTATCAAGGGTATGTGTCTTACAAATAAATCTGTTTATACTCCACTGGCACGGCACCCTCCTTCCACCTCCACAAACCAGCTACAAAGAACTCTGCCTTTGGCGATGGGCGTGCCAAAGACTCTGCAGTGCCTGAGTATCTAACTCCTTCTTCTCAGTGGAAGAGCTGGTGCCATTTTTGGGCATGTGGTTTAACCTGCCATGCCTGAGTGTCATGTGGTAACAGACTTAACATGGTTGTTATAGTAACAGCCAAGTTGCTACTGGGGTGATGACGTCCGCCTAACTTGTGGGATGATGTTCTCACTGCAACCTTCTTTTTACAGAGCAACCTCCCACCTGATTACCACATCAGCCTCATCGACATAGGGCTGGTGCTGGAGTACCTCATGGGCGGCGCCTACCGCTGCAACTACACTCGTAAAAGTTTCCGGACTCTCTACAACAACTTGTTTGGCCCTAAGAGGGTAGAGATCGGCAGACACGAACTGTCTTGTGTCTCCCAGAGTGGCATGTGGTTCCTTGATGTGCTTCCCAGCTCTTCACGCCATCTGTCCCAGAGTACACCCATGCTGCCTCCGCCCTGACCCCCAATGTGAGGCCACTCACACCACCTCTAATAGTGGGTCTGTCAGTGACATCTGTCAAGCATGGCTGCCCTCCCTCTTTCTCTGCCTTCCTCTTGGGTCCCACGTCTCTACTCTCACAAGCAGTCCTCCCGCCCATCACTGGAGCTGCTGGCATCTTCTAAGGCAAGGGGCGTGAAAAAGCCTCTGCTGCCCCCTCCCAAACCCAGGGCTCCCTGCTGGTCAAACAATTATAGCTAAACTCACAGTACATCCAAGGAATCCAAGACAGCTGTGGCAAGCCATCCCCACCCTTCCACAATAGATCCTATTCCTCTACCTAAATTGAGCTTCTTGTGCTCCAGCTTGTCAAAAGCCCAGTCACGTAAACATCAGATCTGTGGGGAGTGTTCCTCACTCCTACTCCACAATCTGTGCTGGGAGATCTGTTTAGTTCTACTTACAGGGCGGGCTGTGTGTCTGTATGTCTTTCCCACCTGACTTCTGCTGACAGAAGCAGCTTCCATATGAAGGCATTCCCTCACCTGGACATTGTCGTTAATTAGTGGTGATACAGAGGATTGACTTAATAACACGGTACTCAGTTATCTGAGTAAATTTTTCTCTTTTCCTGTTTCTTCCTTGTGCAGCCGAAAGCACTCAAACTTCTGGGAATGGAAGTAAGTAGAGCTGGTCTGTAGATGTTTATGATACTTTGGTCACTCTGTGGAAGCATTTAGATTTAGATTAACACAAAATTGAGTGATGTATTCCATGAATAAGTACTCTATACAACTCACCAAAATCTTAGATGAGTTCGATAAATTGTAAAAAAAAAAAAAAAAAAAAGGTCATACACCTTAAAAAAAAAGCTCAAGTGCTGGTGAGGAAAGACTGTGTGTGTGTGTGTGTGTGACTGTGTGTGTGTGTGTGTGTGACTGTGTGTTTGTGTGTGTGTGTGTGTGTACACGTATGCACAGGGCAGAGGTTGTCCTCACACGTCTTCCTCAGTTGCTCTCCCCTGTATTCATTAAGGCAGGATCCCTCCCTGAATTCGGAGTTTGCTAATTACACCGACTTTATGTAACCAGCTTGGCCTGGAGAAATCTCCTGTCTCTGCCTCCCAAGAGCTAGGATTACAGACAGATATGACACCTGTTCAGCTTTCACATGAGTTCTAGGGATCCAAAGTCAGTCCTCGCTTTCAGAGCCAAGCATTCTGTCCCCTGAGCCATCTCCCCAGCCCAAGTTCATCATATTTTTTAAAATTAACTTTCTTTTTTGATGAGAATTTCATATGTGCATATAATTTTTTAATCCATCAAATCCACCCTCATGCACACTCCTCTAACTCCTCCCATATCCTCATCCCATCTTTCCCTCCCAACTTCATGGGCTGATTTTTAAAGCCACAGAGTCCACTCAGAGCCACCTGTATGTACATGCGTGTAGGACCATCTATCTACTGGAGCATGGGTAGCCTCTCAGAAGCCTCAGCCCTGATGAAAACAGATTCTATTTGCCCCAGTAGACATCAATTGCCAGTATCTTCTCAGGTAGGGGTGGGACTTTATAAGCTCCTACCCTATCCATGCTGGGATTTTGGTTTGCTTGCTCTTATGCAGGTCTTGGGCACACAATCACAGTCACCATGAGCTCATATGGGCAACGGCCCTGTTTCACTGCAGATGTAACCACCTCTGGCTCTTACATTTTTTCTCCCCCCTTTTCTGCGATGATTTCTAAGCCCTGGAGAAAGGCAATATGATGTAAATGTTCTCTTTAGAGATGAGCATCCACAGTCTCTACTATAAAAAGCAGCTTTTCTGATAAGGATTGAAACATGTACTGATCTATGAGCATTAAAAATATATGTAGCAGCTTGATGATATGTCCATTTAGCAGATATATTAGGTTATCCCTGAAGGCCTATGACTTATCCAGTAATGAGTTTTGGGTTCAGTACCAGGGATAAGAATAAGAGTTCCATCTTGTGAAGCTAGCTTCAAATCCAATCAGAAAGTTGTTGGTTACTACCATAACGTTCATGTTACTATTGTACCAGTGGGCATGTCTTGCCTGACTAGTCGTTACTGTAGCTCACAGGATTCCCAGTGGGGTAAGGTGTGATTAGCTTTCTTTCCTGGTAGTGTGTACGGAACTTTCCAGTTCTATGAGAGTTAGTCAGTAGGGATGAAGCTTCCAGGTCAGTATCAGCTTGATTTCTCCTCAACTCAAGCACATGGTGTCTTCAGCAATGGGGTCTTACTATCAAGTTCTGGAAGGTAACCAGGAGCAATAATAGCAGCCTGTAAATGTCTGGTGAGGGTATTTATGGGATAACAGACAGTTTTAAAGATAGAGGATATCCAATTAATTCTATAGATTCATAAAGCCAGTTTCCAAAGAAATACTGAAGAACAGAAACCCTTAGAGAAGGGTGTTATTTCTAGCACTTAAAAACCATAAAATGCAAAAAAAAAAAAAAAGAAAGAAGGAAAGAAAGAAAGAAAGAAACCAGTAAAACTTTTTAAGGTCCTAAATAAGAAATTAAGATTTCCTAAGAATGCATGTGTAATTTAATACTAGTAAGTCTTTAATATATTGCCTTATTGTTAAGATAAACATGGAAAAGATAAGACAAGATCATTAATCAGGAGAAGTTAATGAGAAAATTAAAAATTATATAACATCTGTAATGTTTTTTTAATAGCCTGGTGATGGTGGCATATACCTTTAATAGTAGCACTTGGGAGGCAGAAATAGGCAGATCTATGTGAGTTCGAGGCCAGCCTGAACTACAGAATGAGTGCCAGGACAGGCTCCAAAGCTACACTGAGAAATCCTGTCTCAAAAAACATAAAAACAAATACAAAAATATATAAATAAATTTATTTTTTAGAATAAAGTTATTTTCATAGAATATATTCTGATCATGGTTGCCCCTAAACTCCTCACACATCCTCCCCACCTCCCAACCCTTCCAACTGCACACCTTTCTTCTCTATTAAAAAAAACAGACAGGTAATAAAAAAGACAAACAAGGATACAACAAAATAAATTAACAAAGGAAAAAGAAACTAAGGGAACATGAGGAATGCAGACACACACACACACACACACACACACACACTCATACAACCCCAAAACCGGAAGCCATAAAATATAAGCAAATGACCAGTAAGGTTTTTAAAAAAAAGCTCAAACAGCAATATGAGACAAAAAAAATTCCTAAGATATCACTGAGTTTATTTTGTGCCTGTTTACTGCTGGGTATGGGCTGGCCCTGCTCTTATGTGTGGCTTGTATACCCATTGAGACTCCTTTTCTAACAGTTGTCAATTGGAGACCGCTTCTTGGTTGGACATAGGCACTCATGCCTACTTCCCCATCTCAGTGCTGGGACCCTATTTGGTTTGGACCTGTGCAGGCCCTACGCATGCTGCCAGGGTCCTTGTGAGTTCCTTTTGCATCAGTTCTGTTGTGTGTGGAAGACACTGTTTCTTTGGTGTCTCCCAGTGCCTCTGGATCTTACAACATTTCTGCCTCCCCTTCTTCATAGTTCCCTGAGCCCAGGGGCGAGGGATTTGGTGAAAACATCCCATTTAGAAAGAGAGTTCCAAAGAGAGTTCTCCAGATGTGTGTCTCTGTATTAATTCCAACCTACTGCAGGAGGAAACCTCTCTGAGAGAAACTGATCTGTGTTTATAGGGAAATGTCACTAGGAGTCATTTTATTGCTACGTTTCTTTAGCAAATGACGACTACCAGCGAATAATACTGCTTGGCAGAAGGAAGATCAATTCAAGTACCCTCAGTGTGGGACAAGGGACAAGAGAATTGACAACACCGGTAACAAGAAGCTTTGAAAATGAAACGCCAAGGGAAAAAACCCACAAACACACCCAACAGCACACTGGATATAAAAACATTCAAACAAGCGGGGGAAATGTGTAACACAGAATAAGTTGGCTATTGTAGAGTGCATTTATAAGTAAGTTACCATGTTCAACAGCATCTTGTTTAGAACAAATTTGGTAAAGAAGGCTTCGATTCAGAACTGACAGTTAAGGCCCAACTCTAGCTCTGCCCAGCAAGCCGTGAGTCTCCTGTTACTTCCTCTCTCTTGTCCTTCAGTCTGGTAGGACTGACCCATTCTGCAAAGATCTGCTATACGCGCCTCTGCAACACCCCGTTTCTTGTCCTGCTTCTAGTTTATTTTTCATTTCCTCGATGACAGGCACTGAGAATACAAAATCACCCAGACTTCCTGTCTTACAGAGCCGACCTTGCTCAGTTCCATTTTCCTAAAAGTTGCTTCATCTAGACTTTCTAGTTCACTTTCACAAGCCTTCACACAACCTTCTAGCCTCTTCTGCCTGTCCAACAGCTTCAGTGATGTCGGGTTCTTACTCTGTTCTCTCCTTCCATCATGTAGGTCCTGAGAATTGAATTCTGCTCCTTAGGCTTAGCAGCAGGAGTCTGCCTGGCCACTTTCCTATCTCTTGAGTTTTTAAAAATGTGCATATCCCTCCATGCCCTCTTTCTCCCCTCCCCCTCCTTCTTCTGAGACAGTCTTTCATTGAAGCTGGACCTCACTGATTGGCCACACTGACTCGGCCATCAAACTCCCGGGATCCTCTGGTCTCTGCCTCCCTGTGCTGGAGTCACAAGCCCTTGTTGCCTCAGCTGGCCTTCTATATGGCATAGGGATCCAAACTCTGGCTCCTCATGCTTGCATAGCAAGTCCTTTATTTTTATTTTGAGGCACAATCTCACTCAGTTGCCCAGACTTGCCTTTGACTCACTCTGTAGCCCAGGAAGGTCTTGACCTTGCTGACCCCTGCCTCAGCCTCTGGGCTGGTTGGTGTTACAGACCTGTGCCACCAGCTCCCACTTACACTGTTTCTGTCAGATCTTAGCTCAGCTATATCTTGCAAACAAGTATTGGCGTTCTGCTGTGTTGGAAGATGTCCCTGAAGAGACAGTGACTTCTTTCCTGTTTTGCTATCTGTATTTAGTTTATGGAGAGGTTTTTTTTAGGGGATGTTTGTTTTGTCTCCTTGCTTAAAACCCTCTGTTGGGGGGAGCTGCTAACCCAGTGGGATAAGTTACTCAAATAGCAGCATTCCCTTTCAATTCATTTGGTTTAAAGTGACTTGCTTTTCATAATAAGCATGGGCGCCTTCCCCAAGGAATCAGCATGCAGAGTGGAGGTCAGAGCCTGGCTCGCCAGATCTCTTCAGCCGCTTCTGACATGGAAGTCTTCCTAAGAGTCATTTTGTTTAAAACGTGTCTGTCTCCTCTCAGGATGATGAACCTCCAGCCAAAGGGAAGAAGAAAAAGAAGAAGAAGAAAGAGGAAGAGATTGACATTGATGTGGACGACCCGGCCGTGAGTCGATTCCAGTACCCGTTCCACGAGCTCATGGTGTGGGCCGTGCTCATGAAGCGCCAAAAGATGGCGGTCTTCCTGTGGCAGCGCGGGGAGGAGAGCATGGCAAAGGCCTTGGTGGCCTGTAAGCTCTACAAGGCCATGGCCCACGAGTCCTCCGAGAGCGAGCTGGTAGATGACATCTCTCAGGATCTGGACAACAATTCCAAGTGAGGATCTTGAGGGAACCTGAGGCCGAGGCTGCCCTGGTGCTCTCCGGTTGAAGCCACCAGCCCTGCACTTCTCCTTTAAAGACCATTGTGGCTGAGGCTTACTCGTAAACCGCCTTGCCCATTCTGTCTGTCAGTATTTTCACTGCTGTCCCTCTGGGCTCTTTCTGGGTTGTCATTGGTTTGGTCTGCTGTTTTCTCATGCAAATTATTGAAGCACTCCTCTAAGCAAAGGGAGTGAAATAGATTCCCATAAAGAGACACTCACCGGTGCTATATAAACTTCAGCACATCTGTGCACTGGGCTCTGAGAGTCAGAAGGCCTTCTGGATTTTTCTTCCCCTGGAGTTGGGCAGATGGCTAAAGGAGGCTGGTGCTGGCTTTTTTCTCTTTGTGTACATTAGGCATTTGTGTCCCCAGTAGCTTGGGCTTTCTGTGTAGCAAGTTTCTCCCGAGGGCAGGTCTGGCTAAGGGGGACAGAATACTGCGAGGTTTCAACATGAACCCCTTTCGCTTTTCCTACTGGGAGAGGGGGTGCGCCTATGCTCACCATCAGAACCTGGTTGGGTGGGGCCCTGGACTTGATTACATTTGGACTCTGCCACAGCAAGCATTCAGCAATAGGTGGGCTATAGCTTTTGCTGTGTTTCCTAAGCCTGCCATGGTTTTTCGGACATGTCTGATACAGTGAGCAATGATTCTGTGTCTGCCCGCCTGTCCCTGTGATGGAGTGAAGAAGAGACCCTGATCTCCAGCTTGTTCAGAATTTCATCTGTTGTTAAGAGTGACCAGCCCTTTTCAGATTTGTCACGTGACAGACTGGGAATCTGAAGCCTAGGGACGACTTTATAGGCATATAAACTTGAGGTCAGTCCAGCCAGGCAGCCGTGCCAGCATCTGGCGGCTTTGTTTGGAAACCTTCTGCTTTTGTTCTGGATGCAGTGAGTTCCAAAACGATTAGCTGGCTTCTAAGTGTTAGAACCCAAGACTTTCGTTGTTTTTCTCTTAGATTTATTTTATGAGTATGAGTGTTTTGCGCACGCAAGCGTGTGTGTGTGTGTGTGTGTGTGTGTGTGTGTGTGTGTGTGTGTGTGATGCCACTTGAATGCCTGGTGTCCAGTTCCCTGGATCTGGAGTGACAGGTAGTTGTGAGGCACCATGTGGGTGGTGGGAGCTGAACCCGGGTCCTAGAGGAAACTAATGCTCTTAGCCACTAAGCCATCTCTATCTCCAGAACCCAGGGGTTTTTAGAACAGAGATATTCTCACTACCTTGGGTGAGGCAGTCACTCCAGATGCAGTCTTGCCTTCTACAGCGTCCTCCCTCGGTGATGTGTCACCCTGCAGCCTAGGACCAGGACCAAGCAGAAAGTACTGTACACTGCAGGATCTTCCAGGGACAGGAATGGCCACTCTCCCACCTCCATCATCTTCATCTTCATAACTGCAGCAAAATATCCTATAAATGGAGAAACAAAACCAGAGGAGAATGATCACTATGTAGAGAATATTTTAAGCACATACCATGACAAGAAAGACAAAGGAACAGGAAATGGCTATAGCTGTCTTAAAATATTGGAATCAGGGTCATGAGAAAAAAAGGACAAACCATGTTCAAACTTCATCTGTGTCACTTTGTCCACGCCTTGACTCTTGTACTTGCCCTGCCATTAGCAACCTCTGCTCTGCTCTGGGCCCTGTGAGCACTACACTTGTCTCACTGCACTGAGCATGTTGAATTATCTTGTGATCAATGCCTTATTGAAGCCTTACACAACACATGAAAAGCACATTTTAGCTGGGCGGTGGTGGCACACACCCTTAATTCCAGCATTTGGGAGGCAGAGGTGGGCCGATCTCTGTGAGTTCGAGGCCAGCCTGGTCTGCAAAGCTACACAGAGAAACCCTGTCTCGAACCACCCCCCAAAAAGAAAAGCACATGTTTTAAATGTTTGACTTATACGAAACACAAGGGCATGGCCAGCACCCTCATTTAAAATCAGAATCTAGCCAACACCCACAAGTCGTCCTGGTGCACCGCCAGCCCCACTTGCAAGCCCACGAGTCCTGTCTCTTCTGTGTGCCCCTTTGTCCTTTGACTTTGTCTCCTCGGGGTCTGAGGGACACAGTTAAGCTCTGATTGCAGGAAGATCGTCTCTGATCAGTCACAGGGCTTGCTACTTGTTGCCGCCTCCCGTGTTGTGTGTCTTGTGGCTCCCCGAGCCCCCGTGGACACATGTGTTTAAGTACAAACGTTTCACGGCCACTGACGTCCTTGTCCCTCCAGAGATTTTGGGCAGCTTGCCGTGGAGCTGTTAGACCAGTCTTACAAGCATGACGAGCAGGTGGCCATGAAACTTCTGACGTACGAGCTCAGAAACTGGAGCAACTCAACCTGCCTCAAGCTGGCTGTGGCAGCCAAGCACCGGGACTTCATCGCTCACACGTGCAGCCAGATGCTGCTCACTGACATGTGGATGGGAAGGCTTCGAATGAGGAAGAACCCTGGCCTGAAGGTGGGCATGATGCAGTCATCAGGCTGGGGTCACTGAGATGGGGCAGCAGGCTGAGCTCAGTACCTGTAGCTTGATTCCATCTACAGCGGCCCCTGATGCACAGACGGTCCCTTTCTCTGCTTCAGTTATCCCCATCGTCCACAGCCTGAAAACGTTAAATGGAAAATTCAAGAAATAATCGATTCAGAAGGTTCTTTTGTTTGCTTGTTTGTTTGTTTGGGGGATCAAGGGCCTGATGTAGACTAGATGAAGACTCTGCCACTGAGCTTTGCCCTAATCCTCTTGTTTAGGTTGTAAGTTGTGTATTGTCCTGTAGCATGATGAAGTGCCACATGATCTCATTCTACCCGCCCCCCAAAACCCCATAAATCATCTGCTTGTGCAGCATATTCACAATGTATGCTGCACCTACCCACTAGTCACCTAGTAGATATCTTGGTTACCATATCTGCTGTCACAACATCCCAGTGCTTTTATTCAAGTAACCCAGAAGTTCCTTATTAACAGCCCCAAAGAAGAGAGTGGTGATGCTCAGGAGACTGACAGCAGGGTGTAAAATGTATGGTCCACTGACTTTGCCACTAGGTGGCAATGCTGCAGGCGTATAGATAGCACCCAGAGTTCATGGAGGCCAGCACCACGGAGGTCTGCATCAGCACCAAGGAGGTCTGCCTCGGGCATCTGCTGGTGCTTAAGAGAGATAAGGGGGAGCACTGAGCAGTCCACACAGGAGACACTACAGTAGTTCTGGATTTACAGGTGAGGAACTTGAAGCTTGGTGATTAAGGTGTCCAGAGTCTGAGGTGGCCGGTATGGGACAGGACCAGAGCTGAGGTGGCCAGACGCTCCAGCTCCAGTATAGCCAGCATGCTTTAGTTCAGAGCTCTTTGTCACAATCTGTGTTTTTAGCTGGGGCCCACCATGACTGAGCATGCTCTCAGACAGGTCACAATTACTACTGAAGCACAGACCTGGGGGCTGGAGATGGCTCAATGGTTAAAATCACTCAATGCTCTTGCAGAGGATCAAGATTCAATTCCCAGCACCCCCACAGTGGTTAACACCTGTCCATAACTCCAGTTCCAGGAGAGCCAGTGTTCTCTCTGGCCTCCTCAGTCATTGCATGCACACGATACACAGACATACATGCAGACAAAATGCCCATATGCATAAAAATAAACTAATCTTAAAAAATCAAAACACAGATCTTCCCTTTGCTTCTATAGTACTTTAACTAACAACATCTCTCCCTTACACATGGCTTATGAGAGAACATGGAACAATGAAAATGTCTGAAGAGTTTGAGTCAGTTAACCAACTCCCATTTTGTTTGACTGGAAATCCAACTATCTATTGATTATATTATATTGATTTTTATGGGCTCTCTATGAAGATAGAGGCAAAATAGTGCAGGTTCACTAGACCTTATCTGAAATGTCTCGGGCCAGAAGTGTTTTCAATTTCTTTTTAGGTCTGCGATATAATAAGCTATTTGGTGCTTAAGTGGAAGTGCAAACTTAATTGTTTTACATTCCCTCTATGTCTTCAGCCTGTGCATTAACTTTACTGAGTGTTTCCAGGGTGCCTGCATTTTGACTATGGCGTATTGCATTAAGTCAGGTGGGGAATTTCCCGCTTATGGCACTGTGTTGGGTTCAGATTATGGAGTACTTAAGATTTCAGGTTGGTACTAGCCCTATATGGCATAGTGACTAGCGGAAGAGGTCCCACCTCTTACAAATACAGATGTTCTGCCTAGCTATCCAGTTCTACACCACGCACAGATTTGTTACATCAATATTGCAGATAGTCTTGGATATCAACAAATACAGTTTGTTTTCAGAATGCCAAGATCAAAGAGATCTCAAAGGCAATAAAGAAAACAGGTCAGGTGTGATGAGGCGAGTGTTGGATTGGTATCACACTTCATCAGGAACATGGAAACCTAGAAGGCAGCAGAAAAACAAGCAAGGCCTTCGTCTTCATAGTTTTGGTTGGAAAAACATTTAGAATCTGGATTTTTTTTTACCTGATACAGCTTTTTTAAATATATGAGGAAAGCCAGGGTTGTAGCTCATTTGTTTAGCTTGCATGAGGCCCTGGGCTCAATCCTGGCATGGCAACAGAATAAAAAGTAAAATGCTCAAGGAAAGCAAATTAATCAAAAACAGGCAAAGAAGCAAGCCAGGACTGGTGGTGTGTGCCTGTGATCCTGGCTACATGGGAGGCTGAGAAGAAAAGATTGCAAGTTTAAGCTAGCCTGATCTGCAGAGTGAGTTTGGGCCAACCTGAACAATTTAAGGAGAGTCTGCCTCAAATAAAATGTAAAAACAGGACAAGAATACAGCTTAGTGGTAGAGCCCTTGCCTGGGGTGTATGTGGTCCTGGGTTTAATCCCAAGAACTGCAAAAATAAATACAAAATAAACCAGACAAACACTGAAACTGTGCTTTAAACATATTTATTCCAAAAAATTAACAGAATAAATAAGCCCCTGTGTTTTACAAGCCCCCATTTGGAATCCACACAACTGAATGTGAGGCAATTAGACTGCATAATTACAGAGGTTTGTGAAAGAAAGATGTACTCAGGAAGAAGGGCACACGAGGGATGTTTCAGCCAGTCAAGCGCTTAACCTTGCAAGCATGAATACCTAAGCTGATTTCCTAGGACCCACATTAAAAATGAAAATCAGACATGTACCTGGAGCTTGCTGGCCATGCAGGATACTTTAATTGGTGATTTCCAGGCTTGTGAGAAACCCTGTATCAAAAAGCAAAACAAACTAAGTAGGTCCTCTGGCTCCCACATATGCTCATACACCATACACATGTGCACCTGCACGTGCACACACACACACACACACACACACACACAGAGACAGAGAGACAGACACACACACAGAGAGAGAGAGACAGAGACAGACAGACACACACACACACACAGATACACAGAGACAGAGACAGACACACACACACACACACACACACACACACGCACACATGGGGGGGGCAGTTGGGACTAATAGGTTGAACGAATGACTAAGAAGTCCCCAAGTGTTGGGGTTGCAGGATCAGGGAAGCAAACACTGTTGATAATCCTTAACAAGAAAACAGATGGGAAATCTACATTTCAGGAAAAAATTAAAGCTACACACAAAAGCTTCAGGTTTGATCAGAATTAAAACCTGGAACATTTTTAGCAATCAGCGTTGCCTAGTGAAGCATTGATAGGACAGCTGTGGCTCCATCTGTGGGCCAGGCTTCAGGTCATCCTCTGGGCCCAGCTCAGCCCTTCCTCTGTGAGCCTTCCAAGTCTAAGAACACATTTCTCCTCACACTGAAGTATTTTACATCAAACAGAGGTGTTATTGTAGTTCATTAGATTTTAATTTACCTATGTACCTGCTTTGTTTGTGTGGTTTGTTTTAATGGTGTTGGGATCTAGTGCAGGGAGGAATCCATGCAGACAAGAATTCCAGCTGAGTGTCCACCTGGACTTACCTGTGTGGGGATTTAATGTTTAAACGTTGTTTTTAAAGTCTGGATTATGCACAGCATTGCTTGTCATTTCTCTTGGGAAAACATTATCAGTGGATATTCTCAAACTTTTCACGATCTGCGATTCTACCAAAGTATCCAGCACATAAAAGCACAGATCATCAGGGTGGGAGTAAAGACAACCCAGGCTCCTAGGTGACTGATAGTGCGGCCAGTCCAATCTTACAGCTTCAACAGTACAGTCATCCCTCCCCTCCCAGGATTTCATGTTCTTGAAATAACCAAACACACACCAAAACCCATTTAAGGGCTTTCAAAATGACTGGGTGGGCAAAGGTGCCTGCTGCCATGCTGGCCAACCTGGGTTCAATCCCTGAGACCCACATGGTTGAAGGAAAGAACCAACTCTTGCAAGTTGTGCTCTGATAGCTACAAACTCACTGTGACACATGACATGAACACCCTAGCCATGTCATTTTTTTAAAAAAAATTAATACTTACAAGTATATCTAAACTGAATGCACATCAACTGTCCTTTTGGTCTTTACTCCCTAAACTATAGAGTAGAACCGCTTTTAACCCAGCCGTGTAGACAAAGGCAAAGCATGTGGGAGGACGCGTGTGTCAAATACTGTGTCACTTGATGACCACAAGTGCCACAGGTTTGGGTATCTAAGGTTGTTGAATCAGTAAAGCACACCTCTGGGTCAACCGTGAGAGCGTATCCAGGGAGGATTAACTAAGGGCAAAATGTGTACAGCACCGGTCCACAGGCTACAAACGGATGAAATAAAGGGGGAAATAAAGGGAGAAAGTCCCAAGTTCAGGCTCAGGCCCACCCCTCTCTGCCAGGATGGGAGCTGCTTCACCCTCCCCTCCCCACTATGATGATTTAAAACAAGTCTTTCCCCCCATAACTTGTTTTCTTAGGTATTTCATCCCAACACAAAGAAAGTAGGACAGGGACAAGATTTTCCTTGGATCACCAGAGCTTAAAAATGGATTTGTTCCTCATCACCCCTAGGTCATCATGGGGATCCTTCTTCCACCCACCATCCTGTTTTTGGAATTCCGAACATATGATGACTTCTCATATCAAACATCTAAGGAGAATGAGGACGGCAAAGAAAAAGAAGAGGAGAATGTGGTCAGTGGCGTCCAAGAGGGTCACGTGGCTCTCATTTTCAGTGTTCAGATCTGTTCTGCCATGGACTTAGAAAACTTGCTAACAGGGCACTTGGAGAATTTTCCCTTGTTAAGGCCGCTTTGTGCTGGAAATAGGCTATTTCCTACCTGTAGTGTTCCTGACATGTCCTGGGGATGGATGGCATATTCCCACCTTCAGACTGCCTGCTACCAGCTAGGGGTAGCCTGTTTGCACCTGCAGACTGCCTGCTATGTGCTGGGCATGGCCTGCTCACAGCTGCAGACTGCCTGCCATGAGCTGGGCATGGCCTATTCCCACCTGCAGACTGCTTGCCATGCATGAGCTAGGGATGGCCTGCTCACACCTCAGACTGCCTGCCATGTGCTGTGCTATTTTCCAGGATGCAAATGCAGATGCTGGCTCGAGGAAGGGGGATGAGGAGAATGAGCACAGAAAGCAGAGGAGCATTCCCATTGGAACAAAGATCTGTGAATTCTATAACGCGCCCATTGTCAAGTTCTGGTTTTACACAGTAAGACTCTCCCCGATGATTGTCCTTGGTCATGTGGGGAACACTGAACTGCACCAGAATCAAGAAAACTTTGAAGGTTTTTTTTTTTTTTTGGTTTTTCGAGACAGGGTTTCTCTGTAGCTTTGGAGGCTGTCCTGGAACTCACTTTGTAGACCAGGCTGGCCTCGAACTCACAGAGATCCGCCTGCCTCTGCCTCCCGAGTGCTGGGATTAAAGGCGTGCGCCACCAACGCTCGGCAAGAAAACTTTGAAGGTTTTAAAAAGTGTCCAAAGGCTCATTAAGATAAAAATGAGTCATAAATCAAAACTAGGACTAATTGAGAGCTTTAATTTGGATCCCAATGCATTGTCATACATATTTTATATACACAGGAGTACTGGCCATCCTAGCCCCACATGACCACATCATAAAGCAAAATATTTCCTTAAGGGAAAGGATTATTAAAATGCTTTTGATAATTGAAGAAAGATAATTTTTGTTTGGCTTTAAAATAAGCAAAAAATGGGAGCAGGAGAGATGGCTCAGCAATTAAGAGCTCTGTATACCCTTCCAGAGGTCCTGGGTTCAATTCCCAGCATCACATGGTGGTTCACAACCATTTGTAACTCCAGTTCCAGGGAATCCAACACCCTCTTTGGTTTCCTCAGGCACATGGTACCCAGACATACACATAGATATTTTAAAAATAAATGTAAAAATGTTTTAAAATAAAAATGGTTAGTGAATTTAAGAGTCAACTCACAGATCCCATTTTTTCCCACTAAAATGACATGGTTATTAAAAGGATATAGCTGTTACTTAGCCCCCAGCCACCAACTGATCAACTTATAAAGAGAAAGGGGTTTCTTCCATTCATAGTTTTGGTGTTTCAGTCCATAGTCAGTCAGCCCTGGTGCTTTTGGACCTGGGCTAAGGTAACACATCACAGCTGGGAGTCTGTGACGAAGCAGAGCCCCACTTCTCACAGACAGGAGGCAAAAAGGAAGCAGAAGGAAGAGACTAGAGTCCCAGCATTACCTTCCAAGGCCCACACCCACTGACATCCTACAGTTCTTAAAGGCTGCACCACAGGCTGGAAACACGTGGGCCAATGGGAGCATTTCCAATAGAAACAATAGCAAGGTTGAACCCAGGCCATAAACACACTTAGAAGGGCAACAAAGACTTCCTTCTCTAAAGTCCTCACCAATCAGATGTGCTGGGCACTAGCGGGTCATTCTCCAGCCTAGGGGCTCTACTCCTCTGAGAATGTGGAGGCAAGAGCAGGACAGGACACAAGAACAGATTGGAGCACCCTGTAGAAGGAACAGGCCTACCTATGTGTCACCCTAGGGTTGTTCCCAGGAGTACCATAGCTTGGGCACAATGCCAACTGCAGAGAACCTCCTTCCAGCCATTCTCTTTCCCCACATGCCTCACCCCTCCCCCACCCTAATTCTACCCCTTTCCTTGTCAAGAAGATAATTTGTTATGGCCACCGAAAATCACAAACCTGTTGCGGGAAAGTGAATGGGCTCTTAGGCCAATACCATGAGCCTCAGAAGATGTCTCACCCACACGTTCTCTCTTCTAAATTCTAAGTGGACCATCTACGATGGGAGCTTTAAGAATGAGCTGTGTGAGGCAGGAAGGCTAAGTCACCTTTACCATTTTTCCCAGAATGTAGAAGACACCAGCAAATTACCGAAAGGTCCCTTGTATATTAACGCTTCTTGCAACCTCCGTAACAAAGGTATGGCAGAATATGGACTGCCGGGGCCTGTTTTGCACTGAAGTTGTAGAACACCCCCGACCTACCTCAGCTTTTGCACTGGCGATGTGCAGGGAGGAAGGGTGCCCGCGAAGCAGGCCAGGCTATGGGAAGAAAAGAATCATTGTAGACGAAGCATTGAATGTTGTCTCTGACACACCACTGCTGGCTTTTCTTCTTCAGATCTCCTACTTGGGCTACCTGCTGCTGTTTAACTATGTTATCCTGGTGCGGATGGATGGATGGCCCTCCCCTCAAGAGTGGGTTGTCATATCCTACATCGTGAGCCTGGCATTAGAGAAAATCCGAGAGGTGATTATCGAAAAGGCTGATCCTGCCCCATTAACTGCGGAGTTCAACTTCAGATTTTACTAATGCAGGGTTTTGTGCAGATGATGGCTGCCTAGGACCCTCCCTCTGAGGTATCACCATCCGGAGTCACTATCTTCGCTTGTTTCAGATGCACACACCTCCTCCCTCTGACTGACTTTGAACTCACAGTTCACAACACAAAGCGCCATAAATGGCACTTGATAATAAAAAATAGGCTTGAGCATATAGCAAATGCAGTCAGCTACTTGAGAGAGGAAGTACAAGTAGGCACAAATTTCAGCTGTCTTCTGGGAGCTGAGATTAAAAAACTGGGGGGACATACGAGACGGAAACATTTTAAAGCGCGCGCGCGTGCGTGCGTGTGTGTGTGTGTGTGTGTGTGTGTGTGTGTTTATGTGAGTATTTGTGCGCGTCTGTGCACCTATTCATGTGGGTACACTTGCCCCTGCTGGTGCAGGTTGGCTTCATTCCTTCATTTTCTCTACCTTCATGTTTGAAGTAGGGTCTCTTAATGATCCTGAAATTCTGTTTTGGCTAAACTGGCTCTGGCTGGTGAGAAAGTCGGGATTCGTCTGTCTCTGCGACCCTCTCACTGCCCCTGGCCACAGTGTTGGGCTCACAGGTACACACCACCATGTGCATATTTTATGTGAGTTCCAGACGTCTAAACTCAGGGCGCTAATGCTTGTCGGAGGGGCACTTCACTCGGGGTTTGCATCACACGGTGCACCTGCACAGCTGGTCTCTTACCCCAGAGGACCATGGGAGAGGAGTTCTTGGTGAGAGGCAACAAGGGAAGGAGGGCAGAGGAGATGAAAGGGGTGTGGCTTCAGAAAAAGGCTGCTCTCTATGTAATCTCATAGGTGACCCACCCTGGAAGGAGGGGGAGGAGCTTCGTACCCACATCAGTGTTTGGCACCCAGCACAGCGGTGACTCCAATTACCCAAGGGCAGGCCTCCCAGAAAGAGGCTGGTGTGGGCCTCACGGCAGAACCTGCAGCAAATGGGTGGCCAGCCCACCTGGTGAGAGGCTCCGGGGAACCTGGGGCAGAGCCCAAAGCATCTGCTGCAAACAGAGGGCCCCAGATTTTAAAATATGTGCTGAAAAAGAACAGGCACGCTCTCACACACGGCACACATCACCGAGGTCTTTATTTAAAATGGAAAGCCAAGAGGCAGTTTCACAGGCAGCCAAGGAAATGCTACCTAGGATGGGCTGTCACCCACAAACCTGAAACCACTAAATTTGCTCATAAACAGCAAGTTTTTCATCCAGACAGAACATGAACTTACAGTGGAGAAGGATTGCTGACCTTTACCCAATGGACACAGAACCAATACCGCTATTTTGTAATTACTATTGACCTCATTCAGTAGAGTAAGTTTAGCATCCTCAGTCAAGTGACAACTGAGCAATCAAGAGTGCTGTGAATTCACTCTACAGCCCACCCTCTTCTATGACTCCTATTGCTTCTCTAGCTGGGCTCCGTTAGATTTCTGTTGCTGTTACATCCAGGACTTCCCAAGAGGCCTGTCTTACCTTTATGTACTGTGTATCATGGGGGGAAACACATGTAGGGGTCAGAGGACAATTTGGGGGAGCCAGTCTTGTTCCTTTACCTTTATGTGGGTCCCAGGTGTCAAACTTGTATGGCAGACTGGTATGGCAGGTGCCTTAACCCATTGAGCCATGTTGCTGACCCTCTGTCGAGATCTGGATCCTGCTGATAATTATAGGGGACTGGGGATCAGCCAGTACACACAGCTTGCTGAGACACTGAGTCCTTCTGTATTCGTCGATAGACTGTCAATACCTCCACTGTCCCTCAGATCCTGGGATCTACCCATGACTTTCAGAGCTGAAGGGGGTACCCTGGCACGGGGACCTTGCCCTGTGGTGCCTCCACAGTGCCTGTCAGGACTGTAAGTGCATGGCTGTGCATACTGCTGGCTGAATAGTTTGCACTTTACTCGGGGGACGTGTCCTTTTAGTTAGTGGTGATGCAAAAGGATAATATCCCAAGCAGGAGGAAAAATATGGTTCAACTTTCCCTGCTTGTCTTGTCTAACTTGAAAAGGAATTTTGGCAAGTCTGTTCCCCAGCCCTATCCAGCCGTCTCCACCAGGTGGGTCGTCCCTCTGTGGTAACAGAGAACTTGTTCCTGCTCTAGACTTTTCCTCTTTTACAGTTCTGGAATGTGAGCCAACAGGCATGAGTCCAGATAATTAAAAAGGGAATCAAAAGGCAGCTGCTCTAATTACACCCAGAAGGAGACAATTTGGAAGGCATTTCCTGAGTCCATGAAACCCCTGAACCCAAGAAAACAGAGGATTCCATGGAATTTCTCCCTCTAGATAGACCCTCTGCCCCAAAACTTCATGTGCAGAGATCTTGAGCCACAAAGGGCCCAGATGCCCTGGAATGCCCCAGCCTTCTTATCTTTTCTAGATACTAATGAAGATGAGGTTTCTGGGACCCTCTCAGCTTACAGCTCTTTGGGGTTTACTTCCAGATCCTCATGTCGGAACCAGGCAAACTCAGCCAGAAAATCAAAGTGTGGCTGCAGGAGTACTGGAACATCACGGACCTTGTGGCCATTTCTATGTTCATGGTCGGAGCAATCCTTCGCCTCCAGAACCAGCCATATATGGGCTACGGCCGGGTCATCTACTGCGTGGACATCATTCTTTGGTACATCCGAGTGTTAGACATCTTTGGTGTCAACAAATACCTTGGTCCCTACGTGATGATGATTGGAAAGATGGTTAGTAACAACTCCCCATGAGTAACCAGATAGTTTGGCTGGCATTAGAACACTGAACCAGGCTTGGGTGTGGCTTCCTTTGATTTCATTTGGTTTTTCCTTTGCAGCTGGATTTACATGTACAGTTGTCCTATGTGTTGACATCTTAGTAAATTCCAACAGGAAACCATGAGTTGAAGATTCCTAAAAACACACCCTTATTTATCCCTCACTGAGTACCAGGGGCTCAATACATGCCATATCCCTTCTTCCATATCACATTTAACTGTAGTGTGATCAACTGCAAATTTGTTCTGATTCTGTACTGATTATATTTTGATAGTAAGAGAAAAGAAACATCCTCCACTTTTCTAATAATTTGCTTTGCTGTCCCAGGACATAAGACCAGCCTTGGATGTAGTAAGGGTTCAGTAGCAGAGGGCTGGAGAGATGGCTCAGAGGTTAAGAGCACTGCTGCTCTGCCAGCAGACCTGGTGGCTCACAAACATCTGTAACTACAGTACCAGGGGATCCAATACCCTCTTCTGGCTTCTGAATGCATTGTATGCACATATTGTACACACATACATACAAGCAAAATGCCCACATGCATAAAATATAACATTTAAAATTTTTTAAAAATAATGCAGCCACAATAGTTGTATCTCAATATACTAGTTCTACATCTTGGGGGCGGGAATCATCATAGAATTTCTTCACATTAGGGTATGGATTTCATGTGTTATGAAGTTCCATCCATTTCAGAATGCTTTTGTAGTCAAATTCAGATTGGTAACTTCCTAGCCTTTGGCAGAAGCCAGTGATAATGGGGCCCAAGGCTGGCCCCTACCTGCAATCCAACAGACTTTGGTTCATGTGCTCTGACCTAGGGTGGTTGATGTATGTTCTTTGTGTGATTAGTTTGAGACACATCCATGGGGACACTTATTTCAGAGAGGCCACAGAATATGAGACTAACCACGACCTAGCAAGTTGTCCTTACATTACTAAAATGGTTTTGTGTTAGGACTAGTCTCAGGACAAAGGTGAACTAAGTTGTGCAATAATTGAGCAATAAGATAATAGAACAATAATTATCAGCTAAAATGCTTCAATAGAGTCAGTGCATTTGAGTTACAGGACATATGGTTTAGCTAATTCCAGTAAGGCCCCTCATACTCAGGGGTATTCAAAATTAGAAATTATAGGAGCTAGAGAGACAGACAGCTCAATGAATAAGGCACTGACTATTTTTCCAGAGTACCCAAGTTCATTCAGTTCCCAGAGCCATATGTTGATCACAACTGTATGTAACTCCAGTCCCAAGTGATCTGACATCTTCTGTAGTCACTGCATACATGTGGTCGAGACAAACTTGTAGGCAAAGCACACATACACATAAAAAAGGATTTTGTTTAAATTGGGGGTTGCAGTAGTTCAGCTCCTGCCTAGAAGCCCTGGTTCAATCATTAGCACCCCATAAACGGGGGGGGGGGAGATACAGGAGTTATATCTGTCTAGCATATGGAGTGCTGACCACTCAGCATCCATGTAATGAATAGAGATTAGTTTACCTTCATAATTCTTCCAAGAAGAATCCTCTCTTACTGCTGTTCCTAGAAACTCCCATGTTTTCTGATGAGGCCTCTGTTTCTATATTCACTTTTCATTTGTAAGGCAGGGTCTTATTACATAGCCTTGACTGGACTAGCAATCAATTATGTAGATCATGCTGGCCTCAAATTCACAGGACAACCCATGCCTCTACCTCCCAAATGCTGGTATTGAAGATGTGTACCACCATGGCCAGCCCTTTCCCTATGTAATTGCCAGAAGAACATCAGTGTGTAGGTGTGTCAATTAGCTTTTTGTCATCACAGTAAAATCCAACCTAAAAAAGAAAATGCCTGTTACAGATCACAGTCATGGTTGGCTGAGCCTGTTGCTTTGAGTGTGTGTCAGGGAAGCACCTCTTGGTAACAGTACATGTTGGAGCAACCATGCCTACAGCAGAAGCAAGGAGGAAAGAGAAAGGAAGGAGTTGGGGTATTCTAGATGCAAACTAGAAAAATGTGATTCAAAAGCCTTCAGTAAGGGACATTCTAGCACTGAACTAGAGCAATGGGCAGCAATAAAAGTATCAAGTAAGATCCCGGGCAGATGAAGGCAGTCGGGTTCTAGAATAAGACACATGCTTTACATGGAGGTATAAAAAGCTACCAGCCTGTGAATGAGAGGGCAGGATGCATTTTTTATCATAATTAAAATGACATCTTTGGAGAGCACAATGGCATGAGCCAACATGAACTTGAACTTGGCCCACTAGTCAATACTGTAAGACACGTGTTCTTCCTACTCAGATGATTGACATGCTGTACTTTGTGGTCATCATGCTGGTTGTGTTGATGAGTTTTGGAGTAGCTCGCCAAGCCATCTTGCACCCAGAGGAGAAGCCTTCTTGGAAACTGGCCAGAAACATCTTCTACATGCCCTACTGGATGATCTACGGAGAGGTGTTTGCAGACCAGATAGACCGTAAGACTAGAATTCATAGTAAGATTCTCTTCCCTGCTTCCAGGGCAGATGATCAGTTCCAAGTTAATGGAAGAGCACTCATTAATTTGGAAGTAAAGTATTTTTCATTCTGCCACAGGCACTGAATTGTTTTATGAAAAAAAATACAGACTGAAGTGTAGATGTTGAGGTGTCAGCTGTTTATCTCTAAAACTCTAAAATTCTGAGTCTCACTTCCCTTGTGCTGTTGGACATTACAACACACAATGTAGCCCCAGTACACTAATTTGTCTTCAACTCTACATAGCATTGTGCCTTGCTCTTATTTGACCCTTCCCAGTATCCTCCCTGTCCCTTATTCCCCTCTTTTATTGTCCCCTTCCTCCCATCAAATAGCCCCATTTCTGCTTTGGTATTACATAGGTGTGTGTATTTAACATGTATGCATATATATTTAATCTGGACTCTACATAAGAGAGAAAACATATTCTATCTTCCTCATTGCCCTTCTTGCTCCCCTCCTCTTATGTCATGAAGATGGGGTGAAGGATGGTCTATAGATTGCCATTCTCTAGACTCAATACAGCTCTTACAATCAACATCTCACAACTGCAGTTACTTGCATGGGGATCACACCAGACCAGGACCACCAACAAGTCCAGGAAATGGGAGGCATTCACAGTGCCCTACCCTTTACCTCTGAACTATTGGCTATCAATAGACTCTTGGAAGCGGGGTGGGAAAAATCATCGTCTGTAGTTATGTTCTCTGCTGAGCCCACAAGACTCCAAAGATAAACTCCAAACGAGTGGGCACACTGGTGGTGCTGATTAATTTATGTGGGTCATAAAATGAATGAAAAAATAGGAGAGAGAGATTTGGGAGGAGGGAAGATTGACAGGGGAAATAGGAAGGTAGGAATAAAAGTTGGTACACTTTGTAGACAAGTGAGAAATTAGTTTTAAACCAAATTTAATGAAACACATATATTTAAAGCAAGCAAACAGAAGCTTCTGGACCACAGACACAGCTGTGGTATTTTTATTGTTCAGGCTTTTAATCACACTGGTTAATGAGAGACGACAACAAACTGTGCTTTTTAAGTAACAGCGTTAAGTGCAGGATTCCAGCTCCTCATCCGACCGCCCCACCATACCTTTGCATCTATTTGTGCCGCTGAGGTGTTCCAGGCATGACACAGAGAATGCTTGATCGTCACACTGGGAAGTTCAAAGGATCATCTGCAGCAGCAGCTTGTCTTTGCAGTGCTTACAGACGCATGGCTAGATGAATATTGATGAGATCTGTTTCTCAGAATTGATAATAGATCCATTTATTCTAAGTAGGCTTGAGTCTTTGCATGTCTTAGCAGAGAGATTCTTGTGTTGGTAAATTGTTTTATGTTCCTCTCACTCATCTTCTTGTCTTCTTTCCTCCCCTCCTGGGACAACTGAAAAACAAACCACACTCCTCATATCCAATGACTGTCTAGTGTACGCCATGGAAATTAACCGTAAGTTCACATGGAATTGGTGGGGTATTTTGTGAAGGGTTTTATTATGTTATCTTTTTCCTCAGCTGATTACTAATACTCTTATCCTATTTTTAAATACCTCTTCAATTTTCTGAAGCCAGTACTCTTTTAGACTGCAAACAAAAAGTAAGCAGACCATAAATTCCACGTTGGGATCATCCTATTTTCCCTGCTTTGGGAAATAGGTCTCTTTAATGAACAGAAGGGAAAGGATTCATTTTCAAACATAATTCCATAGTTGATCTGAGAGGGTGGCAGGGACCTCTACCCCACACCTGAAATCGAAAGTGTTTCCAGAGTTAATGTACAATAAAAGCAAGAAAATCACAAGAAGACAGCATAAACTAATAGTAAACTATTAAAAGACAGAATAAGATTCTGGTAGACAACATAGGAAGATACAATAATGGTAAATCAGAAATGGTTTAATTATCATTAAGAACTGATTTTATATACATATGTTTGGTATAGCTCAGTTGTAGAACACCTGCCTAGCATGTACAAGGCCCTGTGTTCATTTTCCCCAGTACTACCAAACAAACGAACATATTTTCTAAATGGGGTGAAGGGGTGCGGTGACAAGAAAATGGAAATGTTTGCAAATGGAACAAGCTGGATATAGCTATCTCAGAGTAAAAATATAAATTTTATTATCTTCATTATGTAATTTGATATTTTTGCTTAGAAAATTATTGCTTATGAAATACAAAAGTCCAATTAAGTCAAGTGTGTATGTGGGGGGGGTGCATAACTGTAATCCCAGCACTGGAGGCCAGATGATCTCAAGTTTATAAGCCAACCTGGGCTACATAGTAAGACTGTCTCAAACAACATTGGGCTGGGGAGATGGCTCAATGGGTAAAGTGCTTGCTGTGAAAGCATGAGGACCCGGGTTCTAGTCCCTAGAACCCGTGTGAAAAAAACAAGTTGCAGCCACTCATACTGGACTGGAAGATCTATGGGGCTTACTGGCTCTAGTGTAACCAAAATAGCACTCTGTGGGTCCAGAGAGAGAAACTTTACCTCAAAAAAATAAGATGAAGAACACCTGGCCTCTACATACAGATGTGTATGCACAGCACATACACCCCCAAAAATATCATTTAAAACACATGTAATAGACATTTATCCTTTGTTACATATACAAAACAAGCCACCCCAAACAAACTTTTCTTTCAGCTCCTTGTGGTGAAAATCTCTATGATGAGGAAGGCAAGCGGCTCCCTCCCTGTATCCCTGGTGCCTGGCTCACCCCTGCCCTCATGGCCTGTTATCTCCTGGTGGCCAACATCCTTCTGGTCAACCTACTGATTGCTGTTTTCAAGTAAGTATCATGACAAAGTGTGACAGCGGCCTTGTGGCTGTTGTTCATTGCTCTGCAGATCTCTAACTCAGGGTCAGAAAGGTGTGCTGATACCTGCCTATGCGTTCAGAGAAATTTACTAAAGCTTTTACAAATGGATAGGGTTTTAGCAGTCTTTTTGCTCAGCTTTAATCAGTCTTGATGTAGTCATATATCAATCGTCAGCACTTAAATATATTTAAATTTAATCTAGGCTAGTATTTTAACACTGGAGCACACATTTTAATCTAATGAAAATATTTGCTTAGGCAGAAGTCTCCTGAATGAGAGAAGATTTGAGAAAGTTGTGCTTTTCATTCACTACCAGAGACACACAAAATACTAACTTCATAAGCCATTGTGATTATTTTTATATATAAAACATCAAGTCGTATCAGTCAGAACAGTAGAGTGGCTTATGTTACTAAATCAAGTTTTAAATAAAACTGCTCACTTGACAAGCATTGAATATGTTGACAATACTTTTAAAAGTGTTGAAAACCCATATTTTAGATTCTAAGTTGGATTTGGGAAATAGAGGCAAGGTGATCAAGGAGTTCAAAGTCATCCTCAACCATTCAGCAAGTTCAAAACCAGCTTGGGCTACACAAGGCTCTGTCTCAAAAAAAAAAAAAAAGGAAAAACAAAAATCTGCTAAATTGAGAAATGTGAAGAAAAATTCTCCCTAGAATTGTAAAACCATACCGTGTAACAAGACAATGCTCCAGTTGAGACTTGAGAAAAGAGAAAACTATGATATCTAGGCAACAATGGGCTTTCTTAAAGTCACAGAGCTAACAGACAGTGCACTGACTGACTCCTGCTGGAAGATAACTACGACAAAAATTGCACTTGCCCACATCCAAAATAGTTTACCCTCAGCCAGATAAGCTCAATCCACAATCAGCTGCTCATTCACAAAGTACAAAAGTAGATCATCTAGTCATTTGAATTGGAAGTTTTAACTCTTCAAAGGACCTTTAAAATATGAAATAACACACTGAGCATATTTATCAGCAGAATTTGGTATGCATTTTTAAGAAAATGGTGTAAACCAAAATTCAACAAACTTGATATGTCCTTGAGCATAGATAATCCACACTGATGGATGAGGCAAAAATAAAAAAATCAAGGAATCTGCCTCAGTAGATTGTACTAAGTCCATCTCATGATGTATTTTCATTTAAATCCAAGTAACAGAAAACCCCGAAATTACAACAGAAAGTAACTGTAAAACTGTCTTCTTTTAAAGCAATACCTTCTTTGAAGTCAAGTCAATATCCAACCAAGTGTGGAAGTTCCAGAGATACCAACTGATCATGACATTCCATGACAGGCCGGTCTTGCCCCCACCCATGATCATTTTCAGCCACATCTATATCATCATTATGCGCCTCAGTGGTCGCTGCAGGAAGAAAAGAGAAGGGGACCAGGAGGAACGAGATCGTGGGCTGAGTACGTTGGGGATTCTTCATTTCTATTTGTGGGATAATTTCAAAAGAAGGTACTAAATAGACACTCCCATTGCAGCCTCACTAAAATACTGAGGTGTTTGAAAAACACCACAGATAGTTCAAGTGCTGAGTGTTTTAGAATGTTCCTTGTTTTCTGTGTATTCTAGCTTTGTTCACTTATATTGTAATCAATATTGGTAAAAAGTCAACTCATGGAGACCAGAGACTGAACATTCACAAAAGTCTTTTTTCAATGTACACTCCCATATGCTTCAAGACCCCTTTAAATGTATTCCATCTAAGGAGCTAATTGCTAAGAAAAGAAGCTACATAAGCCTGGCTGCTTGTGCAATAATGTGCAAAACGTTTTCTGGGAAACCCTTTTGCTTTCCAGACAGATGCAATTCACTTTTGTTTTTCATTAAAAAGTGATCCATTTTGCGCCCATAGCTTTTGGAATGCTGCGTGAGACAGACTTTCTTTTTATTTGGGGGGGGGCGTGGTAGCATGTGGAGTTAACAACTACTTGAAGTAATCAGGCAACTGCCTGTTCGTGGTGTAGAATCGAAGCTTAATCAAAGTCCGACTATGAAATTCTCAATGACACAGCTACAGCTAAAGCGATTCTTCTCAAGCGGTCCTCATGTGCCCTATACTTCTCCCCACACAGAGCTGTTCCTCAGTGAGGAGGAGCTGAAGAAACTGCATGAGTTTGAGGAGCAGTGCGTGCAGGAGCACTTCCGGGAAAAGGAGGATGAGCAGCAGTCATCTAGTGATGAGCGCATCCGGGTCACATGCGAGAGGTGTGCCAAGCTCTGCACTCCACTCTACGCGGGGTGTTCATTTCAAATCACTTGTTGAGTTTTTGGTTAAGGTTACATGTAGTTGCTCAAAGTTCTCCTGTGTTTTAAAAAGATCACCTTTCCCCCACCTTTGCAGTAGTGATGCAAACTGTATATAGGAACGGGGAAATAACATTCATTTCAAATAATCTGGCAGGGGGAAAAAAAAACACGTAGTTCCTCAAGTGGAGTGTTTACCTCAAACCCTGTTTCAGCTACAGGAAGCCATCATAAAATCCCTGCCTCTGGTGCGCGGTTCCCTTTGCCAAGCCAGTGGCCGAGGAGCCTGCGTATATGCATAGTTTCTGGCTATTTCGGTGAAGACCAGAGGGAAAGCGCCCACCTCTGGTATGGCATGAAGAGTGATATCTGGGAGGGCTAGAGTAAGCAGTGGGTGTCTGATTCCCTTAATCCTCCAAACTAGGCAGGATCTGTCCTGTAGACAGAGAATGGTTAACCACGGATGGGCTGATGCATGGGTGGGTGGGTGGATGGATGCATAAATAAACACATGAATCAATGAATGGCTTGATGAAGGAGGGTCGAGGAAGAACACAAAGCGAGGGGTGTGCTAGTCTGATGCATCTCTGCTCCCTAAACTGGAAATAGGTATCTGGCAAAGAAAGAGTAGGCAGGGACAACAAACGAGGTCTATGTTTTTTGAAATCAGAATTGTTGGGACCCTTATCGGTTAGGAAGAGCAATGTAAGCTTGTTCAGATCTTGCTAGTATGTTCTTGAGAATTTCACTAATTGTGGTTAGAAACAGATGTGGGAAACATGCCTAAGCAGGGTTTGGGCCATCCTATATTCTTGAGCACTTAGAGGTAGTTTTCTGATACAGATGCCAGTGTATACAGACTACACAAGCATGATGGGATTTAAAAAGCTTCTTCAGCCAGCCTCGACCAACGAGGCCCAACAAATGCTACAGAACTCATACACATTGTCAGGTCTCCCTGGAGCGTGCAAGGCTGTTGATTCTGCCCCAGCCCACACAACTAGATATGCCTCTGACATCTGGTCCCCAGCTCCTCCTGGACCATTCAACTGAGCCCAATCAGCTAGATTCAAATGTTACCCACACCAATTCTTGGCCTTGATGAAGTACATTTTCAATAAGACTTTGAAACACTCAATTGATGGTTTTACAGTAGTTGCTAAGCTTCTAAAACATACATTATTCATAACGTAGTGAAAATTTTCCATTTAGGAGTTAGACATTGACTTGGATGTCATTTCAGTCAGTCATTCATAATGGAAATTGTGTTTGGCTTTGTTCTGCCTCTCCCCCTTCTCTCTTCCCCTAGCATTGTTTGGATTTTTATCATTCTTGGACCAGTGATTCATGAATGTAGTTATCAGTGCACTACCAAATTGCGTTTTTCTCTTGGGGCTCTGTGCACACGTAATAGGAATGAAAGTGTGCAGGGCAATACAAACACAGTCTTTCCTGTTTTCTTGGCTGAGGCCACCACAAGAGAAGAGAACAAATCCCTGCCCCTCAACTTCCTTCTGCTGCTCTTTGCCAAGGCTGACTCACAGGTGAATGCTCTAGGCAAAAGAAGGATCTTTCTTTTCAGTAACCAAACCACGGAGGAGCAAGCGCCATGGAGGCAGGGAAGGGACACTCCTTGTCTGTACCTAATTTGGGGTACTTGTGGTTACTTTCAAAACAGATGTTTGTGTGTTTGGAAATTTCTGCTAATTCTTCCATCCCTTTAATCTCTTCAGTCAGTTCATTTCTGCACTGTATTTTCCATTTGAAGACTGGCTGTTCTTTCTCTCAGCCTGCTTCAGCCATCAGTGGTGGGTTCAGGTCTGGTCTGGTGAAGCAGACACAAACCGGAGAGTCTCCCTGATGTACTCACACAGGGCTTTGCACACTAGTCATGCCCCTCCACAAAAGGTCCACTAAGCATTGTCAATGTGGGAATTCGACCCATGCTTCCTCCTAATGCTTGGAAATGAACTTTATGTTCTGACACTTATTTTTGTTATCAAATGTCAATATTTTGTAAAACCCAATGTCAAGTCCTCAGTAAGAGATTTACAGTATGAGTCACTGTAAGATAACACAGCCTGGAGTTACAGCAAATGGTTCAACCCAAAGCTCCATCAATATGCCCACTGACTTTCATAGTTCTCTTAAATATGAACATCTCCTGGGCTCCCAGTTCCATAATGGCCATATCATTCAGTTGCTTCAACAAGACAGAAGTTGAATGTCACCATGATTCATGTTTTCCTTACCTTACTCTTCTTTGACTTCCTCAGAGTACCTTGTCCTTTCTGACACAGGGATTCTGCCCGTGCCAGTCCCTCTACCTGATCTACCCACACCCACCTTCCCTACTCATCCTTTGGATCTCTGCTCAAATGTCAATGCCATGTGAAAAAGATCCCCAACCACCAAATACATGTATCTGGGTAAAGACCATTGAACCCTAAATTGCAGTCAGCATGTCTGATGATAATTCCATGAGGTATGATCAGAATTTTATTAATGAATGAATGATTAAAAGTCTCTAATCTATTCTCAACCAGTTCACTTGTGGAATTTGAAGCAAGTGGTGAGACTCTATGCTCCCTCCTGGCTCAAATGTCTATGGTTTTGACTAGCCAAACCTGTAATGGCAGACTCTGATCCCCTAGAAACTTCTATACTAGAACTTTCTTTTTTCTCACAGACTTGTGCATGAATCTCTTTACACATTTTATGTCTTCTGATACTTCAAAATATACAGGACATAATGCAGCTCATAAAGTATACATTTAGATGCCGTTGATCCTGCACCAAAGAAGCTATTGACCTTGGACGTCCCAGCCCTTTAGTAGCAGGGTCTGATTCTTCCTAGCCCCTGTTCAGAGGTTGTCTGTCAGATCTGTGTATCTGAGTTGAGGTTTTGGCTTTCCTGAAGACTTGATGATTCCTATTAGGAATGGGAAAGGCAAAGGATCCTATGATGCACAGCTCCCAGAACAGCTGGGCATAGTGGCACATGCTTGTAATCCCAGCACTTGGGAACTAAGGTAGAAGGATCACTTGTTTGAAGTCATTTGTAATGAATTATAGAGCAGCCTTAAATGTATATCAAAATAAAAGGAGCAGGAAGAGAGAGAGGAAGATGGATGAGAAGGGGGATGTAGAGGAGAGAGGAGGGAAGGTTGGGGAGGAGGAATGCTCAGTGTCAGTCACACCAAAACAAGAGTTAGTGCTAGCAGGCATTGTCTCTTTCCTCAGATCACAACAGCAGACAACCAAGAATTGGGGGCAGGACACTGTAATAATAGGCACCAACAGGACCAAGTCAGAGCTTGTCAACTTGAACATTTCAACCTCATCATACACATTAGTTAAGCTTCCTGTTGCTGTGATAAAATAGCTACAAAAGCAACTTGAAGAAAGAAGGGCTTTATTCAGGTTCATAGTCTGAGGTTTATCGTGGTGGGAAGGCATGGCGGCAGGAACATGAAGCTGCCAGTCTCCCCGCATCCTCAGTGAGGAATCTGAGAAATGAATGCTGGTGCTTAGCTTGCCGCTTCCTTTTTTTCCATTATTCAGTCTGAGACCTCAGCCAGTGTATGGTGCCACCCACAATTAGGGTAAGTCTTCCTGGTTCAGCTAACCCTCTCTGGAAACACCCTTATACACACACAGGGGTGTGTCTCCTAGTTGAGTCAATCCCAGTTGAATTGAAAATGAAGTGATCGATTCCTGTTTCATGACTAGCTGGCAATGTGCATGGTTGACAAGTCAGCATGTCCCAAGTCCTCTGCAAGTGTAGTGTTGAGCACAGGGTTCCCTTGATGTCTGTATCTCTACAATGGGCCAAACTGGGTTGGAAAGAGTCTTTTCTGAAAAAAAGAATCAGGAATTATGTTATCTACCATGTTTACCCTGTCCATGTGACTTCAAGGAAGTCTAGCACAAAATTTAATGTTTGAGTACCATAAATATATTAGTCTCTGTCTTAGAATATATGGTATATTTCTTCTTTCCTTTCAAAATTATATTCTGCTCTCAGTTGTATTATTTTGTTTTATGGGGTTTTTTTGTCTTGCTAATGTAGCCCAACCTGGCTTCAAATTCAATATCCTCCTGCCTCAGTCTTCCAGGGCAGCACTTACATAGTTTTATTATGTCTAATATTGCAAAACATACAGACTAGATTTCACAAGTTACAAATTTTGAGTGTGATTGGCCCTGTCCCTAGAGAGTCATAAGCCTGGGCTGGCCCATAGATTCTGGGCAGGTGGACTTTTTGTCAGTATCATGGATCTGGGTTAAGTCTTTGGTCTCCTGTAGGCTTGACAGGATGCCAAGAATCCATGGCGTTGAGATGCTATCTGGCATCCTTTTCTCATGTAAAAAGAAAGTGCTGGTAATAGAGACCTCAACAAGGAGGAGCTGAGAGATCAGTCTTAGAAAGACACAGAGAACGCAGAAGACAAAGCACACTATAGTAAGAAAGACATTTGGGACCCATCAGTTGCGAATGCTTTCATCTTACAGATCAATGGGAATCAAGGCTGCTTGAACAGAGAAAAGAATGGATTAAATGGTGGAGCTTTATGGGCTCATTGAAGAACATTCTTATTCCTCATCTGACTTTGAGAGCCAGTTCTAGTTACAGTTTCTATTGCTGTGATAAAACACCATGACCAAAAGCAAATTGGGAGGAAGAGTCCATTTGGCTTCCACACCCTGGGTCACAGTCCATTAACGAAAGCCAAGGCAGGAACTCACGGCAGGAATCTGGAAGCAGGAACTGAGCCAGAGGCCATAGAGGAACACTACTTAACTGGCTTGTCCAGCAAGTTTCTTGTATCATCTAAGACTACTTGCCCAGGGGCAGCACTGCCCCCAGTGAACTGGGCCCACCAACATTAATCATTAATCAAGAAAATGCACTAGCGTTGTTCTTCAAATCTCATGAATCATATGAGGCATTTTCTCAGTTGAGAGTCCCTCTTCCTAAATGATTATACTTTTGTCAAGTTGACATAAAACTAACCAACACAGACCCAATTCAGAGAGAGACACAAATATTAGGCAAACATAAAAATATCAACTTCATTAGCAATGTAGTTATACTGGATGATATGGCTCAGTTCTTGCCAAATATACTCCTAGGATTAGGCATGCCAGCTCAGTCACTGGCAGAAATAATCACCACAGCCCCTACTCATGGTCATCGGTCTCACCAAGCTTCTGTAGGGCCATGACAAATAGAAAACCACTTTCCTTGCAGGCAGCTGACTTTCGAAGAGAGAAGGAAAAGTATGTGGGTGTCCTGGATTCCAACCCCTCAACCCAAAAATCATTCCTCCTCCAGAAGAAATAAAGGCCATGAGAGTGGCGGGAGACATTAATGTGGAGACAGAGAACATAGAAGAAAAAGATATCAAGAATCAAGGCCGCCTACATGAGTGCTACAGTG